GGCCTTGTGCCAACGCAAAGCAAACACATGTGTAACACTTCTACCTATAAATGACAGTTCAGGCCCTTGTGCCACTGTGAGGAAATGCTGCTTTGTAACACTCCTACCTACACATGACAGCTCCTTGGCAAGTCCCATGAACGTCAACTATTCTGTAATTAAAGGGAGAATGAAAAAGGTTTGTCTTTCCGTGCAAATTAGCCCCAAATCTGAGGGCTGGAACTCCCTCCAGCAAGGGAAGCAGAGCAAAAATACAGCCTTAAGGGGGCTGTGCTCTTATGGGAAAACACTTCTAAAAACCAACTAACCAATCAAAAAAAAAAAGACCAAAAAACCTTCAGAGGTCTGTGTGATAGACAAATACTACTAATATTGTTTTGTGATTGGTTGGTAAGATTTTAATTGCTGCTGCAACTTTTTGGAGCCATCCCTCAGTATTTTTTCCTGTCTTACCCATACAAGTGCCTTGGTTGAGGCAACCGTTGCTGGAGTTAATGGAATAAAAGTTGTATGTGATTCCATTAAACACTCACTTCTAAAAACCTCAGGTAAAAGTGACAGACCTCAACAGAACAAGGAAAAAAGAACTTGCAAATACGAGCAGATTCATGATCTGGGAAGTTGCCTTCTGGATGGTTGTTTCCCCAATTTAATTGGGGAAAATTAATTGTTTCCTGCACTTAATATTTTTAAATTGTAACCTTTTATGAAAGAAAGGAGTTCTTTTTGTAAGGGACCTGCAGTTTCTGGCTGTTTCCACTTAGGAAGAATATAAACTATGTGTGAGAATGAAATGAAGGGCAAGTAAGAAAGGAATATTAAATGTGTGCCTTTCTTGGAAAATCTGAAACCGTGTTCTTTTGCAGGGGTTACCTATTGATGACATAAACAACATCTGAGAACCAGGTATAAACAGATTAGGATAAAGAATGACTTGTTTACTTTGTGTACAGTTAGATATACTCATCCTCTACCTAATTAAGCAACACAGTAGTGAAGGCTTTAAGCATATATTCAATTTTAAGGAATAAATGAATATTTTGTGTTACTATTTCTGTGCTTCCAAAGCAAAAAAAGTAGCTTCATTGTCCCAAGGATCTGATTTTGTTTTCACAAAATAAAACATGGAAAGAAATGCACATAAAATACATATTCATCACTGCTTTAACTAAACCCACCCTTAACTCTGTAGTGTAAGATCTTTCAGGTGGTAGAAGATTGTGGATATCTCTTTGTCTGTGTGTTCATCACATGACACAACAAGACCTCAGAACCTGGCCAAGACCCTATTGCTTATAGAACCTTAAGTTTCCCATATTTTCATTTTCTGTAGCTTAAATGTGTGCATATTAAATAGGTGTGCATATTTAGTTTGCATTTAAATAAATTTTCTCATTTTATCAGAGTATACAAAATGCCAGGTTTCAATTTGCAGAATTTTTTACCTTATTTATTTAAAGCTGCAAGGTCTTTCAAAAGAGGTGAGAGACTCATATTGCTGTCAATTAATGTTGACATGCAGAAATTTGTAATTTGTTATTGGCAAAAACACCATCATTGCTAAAAAATATCAGCATAACTAGGGAAACTTTAATATTGTGTTAAATATTCTTTTGTATAAATTGCTTTTAATTAAGGTATTCCACAATTCTAGGAAAGATTTGAATGGGCCATATTTATGAATGGCTTCAAATTTCAGGTAATAATTGCTAACCTGTTTCACAAGCTACCATTTGACAGGCAGATTTCCTTTCAAGCCTGCACTAACCTTTGAATCAAACATTAATTTGCAAAAAAATACTAGAAAAAAAAATATGTTTTTTAAAACCTTCCAAAATGTTGTTGCAAACCCGCAGAAGAAATCCCACAGAGTGGTGAGGTGCCACAATAACTATATCAACTGTATTGCTTTTTAATATAAAGAACTGCATAAATGCTCTGTTAAATTAGACTTACATATTCTTATCAACAGAGCATCATGTGAGTCCTATTTTTTTTTATTGATTGATGTCAGAACCTCTCTATTTTGGGCGCCCAAAATGATACCTGAAATATCACAATTACTGTAACGTACTGAGCACCAGTTCTCTGAAAACAAACCTTCCTGACAGTCAGTACCTCATATGGGGCCCTTTCAAGTATTAGGTCCTTTTTAATTTGCTGTACTCAAGGTTTTCCCTTGATACTCCCCATAGTCTGTCTGCATGTATTCTTAAGATTCCTGAGAGAGGGAAAGGCTTCAAAATCAGAGGGATAATTATTGCCTTCTACCCCATATGAAGAAGGCAATGTTTTAGGGTTGAAGTAATTCTGAGCAGCTCAAAGGAAAGAAGCCAGTCCTGCCTGACCACACACATTTTAAGCACGGGGCTTAAGAGCAGATCTAGGTGTGCATTTTGCAACTGAAATTTCCTCAGAAAATGCCAATTCGCAAAAAACATACCCCATTTCTATGAAATTTGGATTAGGAAAGGTGTTCCGGGTTCTTGACAATAAGCAATCCTCTGGAAAGTACCCAATTTCGAATTAAAGATCATAGGGGTTTTGTATTTGCTAAGTTTTTGGCTTTTTTTCCACTGTCAGTCATAGGTTTGTGTCTCTGTATGAATAAATCAGGATTTTCCCTGTTATAATTCAAAGCACACGCTGGATTAATACTGAACAGGCATTCTACTGTGGTAATAAAATACTAACAGTCCAGAAAAACCACTTTAAAGGCCCAATCTGCAATTTCCCTCATGAATGGAGATACTTATCTCTGGGAAGCCTAACAAATCAATCATCTGGTTTTTATTTTAGTGAATGAACGTGGCTATGACCACAACTGAGCTCTGCAGACCTGTTTTTTATTTCCCCAAATGAAAAGTGACAAAGACTGTAGCAGCTCATGCTTTCTCCTATTAATTAACTTCAGCCCTTAACCTAAGTCAGGCCTTTCTCAAGACGGAAAACTATTCAATCCTTAGTTGCTTTGCTGCAATGGGGTGTAGAGAGGGAAGATAAATCATCTATTTTCATTTTATTACACCCATCCTTTCCGACTGCTGCCTCCAGCATGTTATTGTAACACTCAGCACAGCAGAATGAGCTGCTCTCTGCTTCCTGCTCCAATGTTGAAATGCTATTACAGGCAATCATTTCCTGGATGAAAGACTCGATATTTTGGTGTTTTCTGCCCTGCTCAGCGTGGAAATGAGGGCACCTGGGGTTGCCAGAAGCAGTTCCAGTGCCTGTGGCACAGCAGGGCCCTGCCTTGACTTCTCCTGATGCTGCTGCTGCCCTCAAACACTTGGGGCTGTTGGAGGAAAAATTATCAGGCCAAACTTCCCAAGAAAAAAAAAAAAACAGGAAAATGTACCAAAAATCTCCAAGAAGCAATTTCCAAAGTGTGAACCTCAATGGTTTTTTTGGGTTCCTAGCAAAAGGAAAATTTCCCCTTTAAGTCCAACAAAATTTCTACTGCAGGTCTGAATGCCTGATGTGCAAATACTGAGGAGGTTTGTGCTCAAATAGAATGGAGAGGTCAAGCTTCCTTTTTTTCTGCAGGAGTTCTGGAATTTTATGCCCTTCTCTTGTCTGCCTTCCCTCTCTGTGTTGGGCAGATGAGACTGGCTTCTTGTCTCTTTGGGCAACTTTTCACTAAAACCTGCCTGAGGAATACACCACATTATTTTCTGAAGCGTGTGACAAGCTTGTAAACTGAGTCCTATAAATTTAAATATTTTCTTAATGCTGGTTACACCATGATAAAAAACAGCTACTTACAGTCCTGACCGAATAAAAATCTGAAAACAGAGTTACATCTTTAAGAGTTTTACTGAGCAACTGGGATTCTCCTGTTAGTGAAGCAGCCCTTTCTTATTTTCTGCTTCAAAGCTTTCTTCATTCACTTCAGTATCTCTTAGATGCAGATGTTCTGCATCTAAAAGCAAGTCGTGTCAGGAATTCAGTGTTTAGATACCTGCTTCTTCTAAGAAATTTGTTACCTGGTTTATTTTGTTTTTTCAGCACTGTCCTTTAACTTGTCTAGCTCCCTCTGCCTTAATGCTTCACTGCCAGTGAATTTAGAGATAACAAATCTACTCTTTCACCATTCGTGTAAAGTTTAATCCCTCAGCCTGGAATCATAAACTAGATTCCTTATTTCCTTTTTCTTTCCTGTACATCTTTCCTGGACATGAGTGACCTCTGTTACACTCAGTCTTCCAGATGGAATTATCTTTTATCTGACAATCTGTATTGCTTAATATATGTGCAGAATCATTTAAAGTACATACCACACAAGCAGTAGAAAATATATCCAGTGAAACTGAGAAAAAATGCCACAGAAGCCTCATACAAAATCAGAATCTTCCTGCACTGTCTCATATGTCCTATACTCTAGAAGATAAAAGGTGTGCACAGCTAATAAAAATATCAATGATTAGCAGTCAGAAAAAACCCAAACCAAAAAAACAGTCCTTATGTCCTGGCAGTAGAGACAATTTTTCTGATTTTTGTCGCAGAACAGAAGAGACTTTTTTTTTTCAGACTGTTAATGCAGAACAGATTTTCAGCGGGAATTTCTCTTGTCATTCATGTTAACAGGACTCAGATCTCATTCACCTCATCTCCCTCCAGGATATAAATAAAAAAAATATTAAAAAATAAATTAAAAAAAATTAAAAAAATTAAAAAAATAAATTAAAACCTACTGGAAATTCCTGTTTTAACAGCAAGCTAACAACACTTGCAACGACTCAGAGAGACCATCTGCTGTACACAAAGTAATCATGTCAGGGGTTTTTCTCGGGGAGGTGTGAACTGCTCAAATTAACGGGACAAAAGGGGAAGGGGCAGAGTAGCTGAGTCTCAAGTGACTGCTACGTTAAGTTGGCATCTCTGTAGGTCTGATGCATTAAGAATACACACTCACGCCCAGCCGCAGCAGCAGAGGTGCTGGTAGGAGAGGAAAGAGCATTGGATAACGATACGTGACTAGGGCTAGAAATATTGGTTACATCCTGGGTCTGGCTTGTGACGGAGGACTGTCTCCTTAGAGCCCCCTGAAAGGAAGTGCCACTCTTGAAAGTATTGACTACTTCGATCTGTAACGGAGGAAAGAACGAGACAAGTTGCTTAAAGTATGGATACAGATGCATAACTGACAGGAATAATAATGAGAAACAGTAAATCACACACTTTTATTACTTCAGTTGGAATAAATACTTTTAAGCGTCCCTTTTAGTGTTTCGTTTTAGATTCAAATTTTCTGTCTGGATAAAATGAAGCAGCTCCACGGGAGGCAGTGGAGCTGCATCAGTTTAAACAGCTAGAAGATTTGAAGTGACAATCCTAAAAATTTAAACCTTTTTGTTTATATGTAAATAAAATAAACTGGAATACTTGATATAGCTAATCTCCACTGTTTTTCCTGCTGGAATGCTTGATGTAACTGATCTCTGCTTTTTTTCCTGCTGGAATGCTTGATATAACTAATCTCCAATTTTTTTCCTACTGAGAATAAAATTAGGCTGTTGTTACCCTCCAGGTGTTCTTCCCGAGGGAGGAAAATTCAGTTACTCCATTGGAATTTTTTGGGGGGAGATAGGGATGATACCCAACCAAACCAGGAAAACTTTAATATCAAAATATGACTCCATTTTGTCTACAAAACCAAGGCTGTTCAGCACACTAGTTTGGTAAAATAAGCGTTCCAAGGTTTTATCTGACTTTTTCTGTCATGAAAGTTTGTATAAGTTTAGCAGAATGATAATAAATGTTGGGTTTTTTTATAACTAGAGATTTAAAAACATTAATATTTTATCTTTATACTGAGCACTTAAAATCACACAGAAAACTACGTAGAACTGGGTCTACTATTGAAGCAAACAACATTACAAATTCCTACTTGTTATTTTCATGTCTGTTGTATTCACTGTTTGATATATCCATCCTGAATACCTTCCTGAGTGCTTTTATTCATCACCACAGAAGATGAGTTAAAACCAGAGCCGAGTATTTCAAGGCATTCTTCGTCACCAGTATAATCTAATAAAAAGCAGGCTTTGTGTACAAATGTAAAACCAGGGATTGGCAGGAGATTCTACCGAGGAATAAATATATCCTAAAAATCCCTACATGTGGAAATGTCCCCTCTGTTCCATTAGTACAGCCACGACATGACAAACAGCAGTAATATCCATCAGAGGGATTCAACCAACTACTTATTTCAAGTAACCCACTGTTACCAGATCCTGCATCCCAGATTTCTGAAGATACACAGCCTAGAAAGTAGCTGGGAGAAAGTAAAGTGGTGGTATATTTATCTATTAAAACAACACAAATCTAAATTTTAGCCCTCCTAAATTTTCCAAATGGAAAGCACTGTAACAAATTGGCTGTTATTTTCTGCTGTCAATTTTAGGATTAAACCAGTTGGTATGGCTGCTTTTTTACTAGTAAGGATGTTTCTCTTCTCATAATCTGATCTTTGGACCTCATTGTTTAATTTCCTGGGTGTTTTTATGGGAACAATCATACCACAGGCAGCTGTAAAAGGGATCAGAGGTTACTGCTGTAAAATGGTCACACTGAACTTTTCCTACACGATTTTTTCACTGCCCCTCTGTTTGAGCCCAGTTTACCACACCCATTTCAATGTGCACACTCAAGAGTTGTACAGCATTAAGCAGTCACCACAACACTTGGAGTGGTTCTGGCAGCAGAGTTACATGTCCAATAAAAAACTCACAGTAAAAAAAAAAAAAAAAAAGTACAATATGAGGTGAGTTAGCATATGGAATAGGGGTACAAGGGAATCATTAACTAAGGTTCACACTGGCATCTAGATAAAAACCCCATATGGCTCAAACCATTGATTATATGGCATGTTAAATACTCACCTGAAATGCTCAGTGTACAAAAGTGTAATTAAATACAGATCTTGGGTTTTCATGACCTACCACAGGTGACAGAGCACTCTTCAAAAGAGACCATTCAAAAAAGATCTTAAAGACTCCCACTGAGAGCATGAAGTGTGTGGAAGACACAGATGATAAATCCTGAGCCAAAGGGCAGTTCTAGATGTACAAATGCCTTCCTAAGAGACTGAAAGGCCTCAGACTAGAGTGAAAAGATAAGGGAAGATCTGCATTTAATAGTTTCTTCAGAGAACAAGAATTACAGGCATGTAATTTAGTTGTTCTCCTGAAGAAAGTAACTACAGTTCTTCGTGAATATAATTCACAGTGGGAGGATGACAACCTTTCCAGAATCTTAAAAGCTGAACATTCAAGGGCTTTATTCTGCATGAAGCCAAGAAAGAGGAGAAGAACTTGGCCCAAAAGTTTCTCTTCTCAAACAAGAAAATAACAAAGAAGAAAGAGTTCATGGAAATGAATGGTGCATTTTAAATTAAGATGCAACTGTTTAATTACAAAGGAATGTGCTTATTTAGAGTAATTCAAGTTGCTAAAAAGAAGAAAGTAAATGATAAGTCACACATCACGAAAAGTTTAAAAAGTTTCCAACACACTGTGGGATGCAGTAGTATTTTGATTATAGGCCTTTAGGTGGAGAAAAAAAAAGTCCTGTCCTACTTTTGAAGCTTATTTGTAAAGTTGGAATTTTTCACACCCATGCCATTTTTCTGTACGTTCTATGCTCTAGAAGCTCCACATATTTTAGGTGTGCATGGCTAATAAAAATATCAGTGATTAGCAGTTAAAAAAAATAGAACGATCTCACACTAGACGGAATAATCCTGGCAGAACAAGCCTTTTTTTTCTGTTTTTTAATGCAGAACTCATTTTGACAAAGCATTTCTGTTGTCACTAATGTTAATAGGACCCAGGTCTCATTCGCCTCATCTCCAGCCAGGACATTAATTTTTAGAAAATCAAACCAGAAACCTTTCAGCATGAAATAAAACAACTTCCATTCCACATCCATGTGGCTACTGCGATGTTTTCTATATTAAAAGCTATAAAATGAGGTGCTAGCTTTTTATCTAACTTCAGAACCACTTGCCAGGAGTGACTTTCGTTGCCAGAGGGTTTGCATTAGCACAAGAGAAAAGTTTTAATATGGAAAGGAAGGGGGAAAAATGCAGTACAGCACTTCTATGTATTTTTTAGCATCTGAAGAGGAAAGATCTTTGTTTAAGGAGCTGTTAACATGTCACCTGCATATTTTTCAGTTTTCCTTTTTATTCTCAAAACGTTTCTAGACACTTATTTCCCACTTGATGCAGATAAAACAAACTGAATTACAGGATGAATGAAGCAGAGGAGGAAAAATCAGATTGGTGTCATAAAAATCTGACATTTAACTTGAAAAGTTTTCTAATCTCCACGCTCCAGAAAATTTCCATTCTCAAATGTGAGGTGACAAGAGAAAATTGTCAGTGTACAATTAAAAAAGGTGCAATGGTTTTTGGATGTTACTCAGATTATGCAGTTTTGCCTCAAGTGAACCTGGTGAACTTTCCAAGGGCTCAGTCTTGTCTCTTCCTTCAGAATGAAGAGTTTGTGAGAACTGCAACAAAGACTTGGGACACAAAGTTGCTGAAAAGTAGCAAAGATTGAAAAGTCCAGTCTTTTATGGAACTTCAGACCGCCTCTATATCTCCCTCAAACTTGCATAACTCAGATGAGCCATTTGTGAAACTTCACATGTCAGTGGTCTTCTGAGAGAACTATCTAGTAAGGAAACACTCTTCCATTCAGAGGAGAACACACATCCATCCAGGGAATCCCTCTAGTATAGTTATAACACAACAAAATATCTGAAGGACCAAAAGTAGACAAAAAAGAAAATCAGAAGTCAATAGCCAGTCCCTGACTTGGTTCTGTGCAGTTTTCATACACATTTCTTTAAAGTAAATTGGTGCATGTCTTCAGAGAAATAGGTCTGACATTTCAGTGTGAAGAATCACAGTGGAAATCCCTTCTCTAGGTTTGGACCCTCTGTTTTGAGAGAAGATGTAAAACAGAAATGTCTTTAAGACTGCAAAGTTTTGTCCATTGGGATGAGTTTTCATTGGAGACCTGAAAACAAACTCCAGCACTGCTGTAGATTCTTTATAACTGCTTTAGGAGTGAAGGCTTTTGTTGGGTGCTGTGGCTTAATGTCCAATAATGACTTAATAGAGAAATAAGCAAAAAATAATCTAATTTACAGCACAAGATGGTGGAAACTGGTCTTATTAGGATTTGAATGATCAAACTAGTTGTGAGTCTAGAGTTTACTCCTGGTCTTACTGTCATCCTCATATAGATACAAAGTGAGGGGATGCTCTACCTTCTTCTTCCGCATCTCCAGCAGTGTATTAGGCATCAGAGGATTCCTGCAAATCCTCCAGCTCCCCAAGGATGCTACAGACATCCTCATCTTCTTCCATCAACTCTTCTTTAGCTGGCTTCCTGAGAAACGTAGTACAAGTGTATGAATTCATTGGGATGGGCCACAACACACAGCACACGAGGATGTGCTCAACTCGAGGTCCATCCAACAGTGGGTCTAATTTGACCTGCATGGAAGTTCATCACTCGCCAGTGGACACCTTGGGACTATTTTTGAATCTGTTGTCCCATCTCCTTTTTCTTTTTTTCGTTATCGTTCCACAAATGTGAAATGGATGTAAAAATCAGTCATTGAGTAAACAAAATGAGACAAAAATATAAAAAAATCACAGAGGCTTCTTGGCAGAGAAGCAAGAAATCCTACTGAAGGTACTTCTACGACTAAGAGCAGAAAGGAAACTAAGAAGATGGATGTTAGCAAAGGAATATAATTATTGTTCATTGTGTTTTAAATAGTATAAAAGAAAAATTTATCCGTGAATTAAGTGGACAAAGATTTGCAGAACTAAAAGCAACCTCTCAGACTAGAAAAAGAACTGAAAGGATGTAATTTGGTTTTTTGTGCTTGTTTACACTCACCACAACCAGAAAGACATCCTGACAGAAATGCCAACAGACAACACTGCTCCTAGAGCCACCAGGAAGAAAAGAATGCACATTTAGAGATCACCTTTTCATAAGGATCACCATTACCTGGACACCTGTTTGTAACCTCCACACTGGGACAATTTGAATTTTCTCTGATGATGAGTGCTCCTGACTGAAGGAGTCGAGACACACAACCCCCAAAGCTGAAGATCCGTATTTAATCACCTACCACAGAACCTTGGGAAATTCCCAAACCCTTAATCTCTCTACCACCAGTTTCCACCCTCTTTTATGCTCTGTGGATGCACCAAAGACACCCAACTGCCCTAATGTTTTCCATATTTTTTTCTGAAATACATGGTTGCATCTTTTTCCCAAAACAAAAAAAAGGGTGTCAATTTGTAGAGGGGAAAAAAACCAGAATGTTCTGTTTATCTTGGATGACAACAAACCCCCAAATCTTCTGAGATGAAAATGCTGTTTAGAAGATTCTCTAAAGCAAAAAAAAAAAATCTTAATCCTTCACCTCTTTTTTTCCTAAGCCTCACGTAAAACACTCACAGCTGATATCTGCTCTCTTCTGCAAGCCAGCAGAAATACTTGATTTTAAAAAGATCAAGCAGAGCACACCTGAGTGCAATAAAACACTATTTCACTGCAGTGGAAAAGGCAAAATAACTCAAATAATTTTTGAGCACTCCAGGACAAATTTTCCTAGCTAAGGTAATCAGCACTATATTTAGCACCATGATTCAGTGCAAAGTGGATTTTTGTACTTAGCAAAAGTTGAGGATAGATATTTCTAAGAAATCATCTGTAGCAGCCAACACATACACCTCAATATTTAATGGATTCTTAGGCCCTTCCTACTAAAAACAAAATCCGAACCCACATTTTTCACTACCTAACAAGAAAGAAAAGCAATTCCTTTTAATCATGATATATGTGTGGTGGTGCCAGAACAGAATAGATTTATTTTTTTTTAATCAAATGGTACTTCAGACTTCAGACTCAACAATTTAAATTACTCTGTTATTGCAGAAATGGCAGCAACAATATATTTTTGACCAAATGTGTTTTAGAAAGCCTTCATAACATTATCCCAGCTGATGTTTTCCAGCACTATTTTATGTCTTGTCATCACTGCAGTAGAATATGAACAGTATCCCCAAAACACATATTCCTACTTTTGCATGTTATCATTTTACAATCTTGTCAATTTACCTTTCCTGCTGTACAAACACTCCTCTGTTCAGTTCACCTGTTTTATTTTCTGCGTGTTCCTCCTTTGGGAACAGCCAAGCAAGTTCACAAGGACCATCCTTCGTGCACACAAACACCCTGGGGGTTTTTCTTTCCACATTAGCTTGCCTTCATCTCAGATTAAAGGTTTCTTTAGGTTTGTTTTTTGGGGTTTTTGTGACCATGTGGGCACTTCCTTTTAGCATACCTGGGTTTGGATTCTGTTGAGGCCTCTGAACCAGAGAATTTGTCCACGTCGAAGTTCTCTCTCCGCGTGATCGATCTCCTCAACATCCTCATTGAGCTCCTCCTCAGGGACCTCCTCCTTCTCAGTGAGCCTCCCTGCCTCCTTTAGAAATTTTAGCCTACTTGTTGGGATGGTTGCAATGACCTAAAATTATAAAAAAATACTGAAAACATAAGCCTCATTCGATAACAACAGTATAAGAATATGTTCATTAAAAAAGAGCGATGATATTTTAATAAGATCAATAATCTTCCAGGAACGTTGAGTCCTAATGGTACTTTACACTCATACAACTCCATTTTAGTCCAGAAATACTTAGTTGACTGTGCAAACAATTAGCCACATTAAACCACATTGGCAATACCCAGCTGTGGAGCAAGTTGGAGGTTGGGAAAATTGTCATTTTTTCTTAAAAAAAAAAGGAAAAGAAAAGTATTTTAATGTTATGGAAAAAAAGTTTGCAAGATTGATACTGCTGTAATTAGAGTTTGGGCATTTCTAGTGATTTATGCTAAAGGGAGCTGAAAATTCATTGCATCTCATGCCTGTGAATCTTCTCACACCACATTGGTTCATGGATTCAGCTTCCCTTTGTTTTAGCAAGTTGAAATGGGTTTCCTGGCATTTATCAAAATTGAGGTTTCTGGAAGGTATGGAACTGACTGTCTCCCTGCTGGACTTTTTACAGGGCTGTGTCTTACTCTGTGTCCTTATTACTAATAAATTCTGATTAGCTCAACCCCTCTTCTAATTCTGTTTGCCCACCCAAGTGGTCCTTGGAAGTAATTAATACAGGACATAGCTAATAATCTTAAAAAGTTGCAAATATTGTAGTTAGACATTGCAATAACACAATTATTTTAAATCCATTTCAGTGTTGCCCTCTTGGGCAGTCATTTTTCTCTTTGCGCTGATTTCTTTTGTTGGCTTGAATAACAAGTTGGCTCTTTAAACAAGACATTACCTGGAACATGCTGAACACTTAAAGTAAATCTCCTACAAAGTTAACTATCAGACCCACTTTGCAAAAAAGTGCTGCAATTTTCTTTTCTGTTTGTCTTCCTTTCAGCAGTTCAGAAATCACATCTCTGAAGCCCAGATACATGAAAGATGAAGAGAGAATCAAGACAGTTGCAGCAAAGTTGGTGAGGACAGTTTTGGAAAACTGGAATGGGTACAGTGAAGACATGTGAAAAGGTACCAAATATTTGCAGAGTGAAAATAAACCTTTGAGTTTGCTGAGGGTCTCCCTTGAACTTCATCATCCACGAGTCCACTTTTTAAATATTAATTTTAAAGACAGCAAAAGAAATGTAAAAAGAAAAAAAAAAAGAAAAAAAAAAAGAAACCAAACCAAAACCAGTTTCTGCACTACTATATGACCTTTTTGAAATGAATTTTGGGGGTTGAAAAACAAGATGCAAACTTGGAAAATTGATGAATGGATGTGACAGGAGCAAAGGCAGAAGAGGAGAAAGAAAAGAGAAGGTAAGTGCTGGTGATTTAAATACTTACTGAAAGGCCTTCAGCTCCCCAGCTTTGAAAACACTACAGAGAGAAGCCACTTGAGGCTCTTTGGGATCTGATGAAGCTGATGGTGATGAAGCACTTTGAAGCCAATACACACAGAAACAACTGTACTGGGTAGAGATTCTGTGCCCCAGAAAAGACCTCTCCTTCATGACCTCTCTCAACCAAGATAAGACAAGATAAAATTCTTCTCTAATTCTTTTCTTAGGGTGCTTACACGGCTGTTTGTTCATCTGTTTTCCCAGACCTGCCCAGTTCAGGAAATGGCAGACTCAACAGACAGGATGCAGATTAAGGAACTAAATATTATTCCCATAAAGAAATCATTGCAGCTTTAAAAAGTGATGAATAATTCTGGAAATGTAGCATGAAATATCGTGGAAAGTCTCGATTTTCAGAAGTGATGAGGGCTATCTGTTAGAAAACTGCCCCTCAAAGCATCTCAGACTGACTTCCTAAAAACTATACCCTTTAAATTGCTTTTAAAAGTGCCAACTTTGACATCGAAACTTGTGTTTTTCTTTTCTGGTCACTAAATACTGACCACAAAAGAAACACTTTTTTTTTTCTGTGTATTTGCTTTCTTTTCAGTGATAAAATCATTGAGATATTCCAATATTTGTGTTAATTTAATGGCTAATATCTTGCAATAAGGCTTGGAAATTAAATTGAAAACAAACGCTGATATTATTATTAGTTTTCAGTGGTTATGTAATAACCATGTATAACAAAATTTAGAAGCTAAAAAGTACATTGATCAAAGGCTGTGGGAAATTCTTCACAGCTGAATGGTCCAAAAAAAACAGCAAGGATTTTTTTCTCTCTCTCCCTGCTTTAATTCCCCTCTCCAAAAGTTGGAAGTTCGTATTTTCAAATCAGTTGAAAGAAAAAAGCAATCTTTCCTTTCCAAGATTATAATTTTAGATCTTCCTCCTGCTAGATCATAACTTAAATCCCATCTTCAGGTGATAATTGCAGTAGAACCCTCTAATTGTGATGGTTTTCAGCAACATTTGAATTAAAAGCTGTTCTGATTCTGAGATGATTTCTTTAAAAACATGAGACTGAACTGCCCAAAAAGTTGGGGTTTTTTTCCCATAAGAGAGTAAAAAATCAGTTTTGAAATCTATCATCACTTCATTGCAAGTCCATCAGAACCATATCAGTGTTCAGCTGCAGTTGGCAATTTCTTCCCTCTTCCTTCATGAAGACAAACTGTTGATCTACAAGTATCTTTACATCTGAGAGAAAAAAGTGTAACTTCACATTTTTCTTTGCTGCATCAGGTGGCATCAACTTAAATACGTTAATAATGCATTCAAAGATGAAAAAATATTAGTATTAACTTTGCAATATGTGTTTGTACTTAAAAGAACAACGTACTATTTTAACAGTAGTGATTGTGTTTGTATTATTACTCCCAGACAGATAATCCCAACTGATTTAATGACCTCATTGATGTTAGTTTTTATATCTATGTATAATTATGTATTAGCTAATGATGACACGGGATACAGGAGAAATTTCAAGTGACACATTAATTTAGCTGCATTTACTGCCAGATCTATCCTTGAAGTTCTCAGAGAGCTGTGTTTCAGTCTGTGCTACCCATGACAGTGTGAGACATCAAGGAAACCACAGAACAGGAGGATTATGAACAATATCAAGAGCTTTGAATCTGCACGTTCCTGAATGCTCACTTACCTGACCCCATACAAGTTCTCCTAATCCAATAAATACACACCACATCCACTGGTCAAGCTGCAGGGGAGAACAGCTAAATGGTTTTCCTCCAAACTGGACAATTACTATCTACAAAGAAAATCACAAAAGAGAGGAGGTAATTTTTTTTTTTTTTTTTGGGGGGGGGAACCAACCAAATAAGGAAAAAAAATAAAACCAAATGAACAAAAAAGAAGGTGCAGAATCTCAGTCACTATATAAAAAAAGAGCAAACCACATGAACTTATGCACTCTGAATTAAAGGTCAGAAAAAGCCATAACAGTTCAGACTAAGCTTTCTTTGCCTCATATCTATCTGACAATGGTCAGGAAGACCAAATCAGGACTGTCTCCCTGTACTCTCCCAGTTCCTGAGTGTTCTCAGCTGAGGATGTGTTGACCCTGATGTCATTTTGGAACGTCCATTGCAAAACAGATTTTTCCCTCTGATTAACATTTTATTGCACACTTAGAGATGTGCTATAATAGATAGACAGAGGGTGGCAAACCCACACAGCTTGGAGCAGGATAACCAACACATGGAGAAGCTGAACAGGTTTGTAATCCTCATCAGATTGAAAAGGTTTTACTAACTGAAAATCAGATATCCTTGATATTTCTTGTTAGTAGTGCCACTGCAAAACTTGGCATCACAAACCAGAGATTTATACTGCCAGAATTTTAGTTCATGGTATTAAACCCGTGGTTTTGAACTAAGGATCATCACTACCAAGTTCTACTGCCTGTCACTGGTGTCCTTTCTCCAATACTTATTTTTACTGAGTAGTTTCCATTTCCTGTTTCAAACCACTGTAGCCCAGGTTCAAACAGCTCCATCCTCCTCATTACTCCTTCCAGGAGAAAGGTCCCAATACTGAGTTTCCAGGATGCCATTGCAGAACTGAGCAACCATGTCAGGAGAGAAACAGCTCAACCCTAAGATTTCTAAAAGGTAATATCAAATATATCAAGCACAGGAAAGATGCCAGCAAATGGATGGACACAGGAGGAGGAATTGGAGTTCTTACATGAGAAAAATTACAACCTTTTGGGGAAAATGTATTACTGTAATTATGTTCATACTTGACTGGGACAGCAAACTCAGGGGATGAACAAGAAGAATTGCTGTTAAGAAGAAGGATTTCTGAGAATATTGAGGAGCATTTGGCAGTGGCATTTAACAGAAGAACAGTTCAGCTTGAGGTACTTGAAGGCAAATTTGTCTATTCATGTAGTAGTAAATAACTCTAAAACGCTTTGCTAGTATACTATAGAATAATTTCCTCTTTAAAAACAAGTTATAATATCAACAAATAAAGATGGCTCTTATTACTGGACATGCTAATATTAATTTAAGAATTAACCTGGTTATAATGATCAAAAGTTGTATTGGATTAATAGGGCAACATAACATTTTCTGTTATTAACACTTGTATCGATTGAGAAAATCTGTGAAAGCAGGTGGTTCACTATTAAATGTCCCTCCTACAGCACTTAGATTTAAAATAAAAAAAAAAAAAACAACAAACCACACACCGAAAAAGCTACAAATCATTACCTGGATAGCAAATGTACCCAGTACAATAGTGCAAAAAATAGGATTTCTGAAGATGCCATCAAAGACATTCCTTTCGCCGTGGATTTTCCGTGCATTGATTTCATTGAAAAGCTGCATCATGACAAAGGTGTTGAAGATGATGGTGTAATGCTCTGAAGGAGGAGAGTGAAGTGGTGCATTCCTCCCACTGTCAATCTTAAACATTTTCTCACCTGGGTATAAGACAAAAGCAAAAGTTTCCGCCAGAATAAATTAAACAGATTTGTATTTCCCTTGTTCACTTCAGTCGCCTTCCGTGCTCTGCTTTACCAGCTTCCCTCCTGCACCAGTGAGCAAAACACAGCTAAACTTTCTGAGCAAGAAGCTTCTCAAAATGATGACTCAGCTAATAACTCAGTACACCTATGAAAAGGTGTCAGTAGTACTTTTCCTCTAACCAGCAGTAATAGTTCTGAGCAGTTGGTTCCTTCTGATGCACTTAAAACCAGACAGTATTTCTGCCATCTTCTACAGTGATTCGAAGCAGCTGCTCTTCAGCAGGTTTTACCCATTTACTAATCCAGTGTGGCATAACTTTTTATAACAACCATTCAAGTATATCAGTGATAAATAGCACAGAGATTCATAGTTTTAAATAGATGTGGGTTTGAGCAGCATCAGGCATTGCTCTTTCTTTTGATAATTTCACTATCACTTCAAGATCTGATCAATAAATGATGAGCTACTGAAAAAATGAGGTAAGTTTGGGAAATATACCTGCACCCAAGGGACCTCTTTTCTTATAGAATCACAGAATGGTTTGGGTTGGAAGGGGCCTTTAAGGATCATCTAGTCCAGTCCCCTTGCAATGGGCAAGGACATCTTTCAGTAGATCATGTTGCTCAAAGCCCCATCCAACCTGGTCTTCAACATTTGCAGTGATGGAACATCCACAGTGTCTCTGGGCATTCAGTTCCTGTGCCTCACCACTGCCGTTGTAAAAAAATTTGTTTCCTTGTGTCCATTCAAACCTTTCCTCTTTCAGATTAAAACCAGAGCTGGACACAGTGCTCCAGGTGGGTTCTCACAAGGGGGGAGGAGAGGGAGAGAATCACCTCCCTCGACCTACTGGCCACTCTCCTTTTGATGCAGCCCAGGATAATACTGGTTTTCTGGGCTACAAGTGCACATTCTGTCTCATGTCCCATTTTCCATCCCCTTTCTAATACACAAAGTTCACAGATGACATCCAGCCATTGAGAGAGCCTAATGTAAGGATGGGCCATTCACATGGAAGTGTAAATAATGAGTGAAATAAGAGTACAGAAGATTATCACAATACCACTAGTTTTAATAACCAGTGTTTTGTTAATGAAAGCAAATTAAAGCTTGAACGTTTTTCTGCTCTCCCACTGGCATTATATTCAGAATTTCTGCAGAAAGGAGAAAGGTTTCCTCAGGGTTTCTCCCGGGGCTGTTAATTCCAACAGGGAGTGTTTTTCTGCCTTGGGATATTCGAGCAGTTCACGTTCAAATCACGGGGAATAATGAGGGTGTTTCCAAAGAGAGAATTTGCCTTATTGCCTTTTGACAGAAAGCAGACTGTGATATCACCAGCACGTCAGTAACACAGCATGAGACCACAACACAGACTGCGAGAGAGCAGAGGGTTTTAAGCAGACTATACATCTCCAGGGAGGGAACTAAGCACTGCAAACATTCTGCCTGCTACACATAAACAATAAAGGAAAAAATTAACGAAAGCAGACAGATATCTATCATAGATACACACATATATATACACACAAATGACATCTATTTGCTTTCATTCCATACACACACAAACACAAATATGTGAATATCTCTCCCTCAGTGAAGGCACCTGTCCTTAAGTCTCTGTTGTTGCACTGCATCACTCAATTGGCACAGAAGACCATGCTGCTATTGTGCAATGGCAGGGGTTAAATCCATAATTGGTTTTTATTTCCAAACCTGTTCCAAAAGGTGTTACAGCAAAGCTTTTACTTTACTGTGCCTTGTTGCTGAGGTTAAGTTTTTTTGTATACTACAGCCTGACAGGACTAGGCAGTGACTTCTGGATTTCTGATGTGCTTGATGCCTCCAAGACTTTACTGTATGTTCAAGCACAAGGTATTTCTGCCACATGATAAGAAAAAAGAGAAAAACTTGATGTACTAGTCTCTACAGAAACCTACTACAAAAAAATGAAGGATTATTTGATCAAAACAGAAATAATTCTCATTAATTTGGGGTTTAATTATCAAAGCACTGAGCTTAGAACATCGTGTCACTGCAAAGCTGAGCCTGTTGGAGTTTAGAAAGGAAAAGATTATTTCCTAGGCTTATCAGAAAATTGATTGGGCTGTGTCCTTCAAAGTGTGCATGAGTTTTCCAGAGACACTCAGGAAATTAGAATAGGATGAAAAAGCTGGATTTTCTTTGCATCTGGCTCAGTATAAAGTATTTTAAACCATAAAACTCATCAAAAAGCCATTATAACTTCCCATAAAGGTCACAGAAGTTCTCATTCCAAGATTCATATCACATGAATTACCAGGACTTTCTACACCTGCTTTAGAGAATCTGATATTATAATTGCCTAAGGCTTGCTAGACCTTCTCAAAATAGACTGTGAGTGTAACAGTATTACAGACCACCTCTCTTCAGAAACCTGGCAATTATTTTGGTTCAAGTAACTCCAGTGCAAACGGACCATCACCTCCTCTGAGCAGTCCAAATAAGCTGCCAAATGGTGATAAGCTGGAGCAAGACTTTCAAAATGGAGCTCAAAACCCTAAAAATCATAAATTCCCATTTGCAGCTTATCTGGAAGTCTGTGTATGCAGGAAAAAAGTACCCTGAGAGACAACACATGCAATTTAACAGCGATGACACAGCGACAAGGAGACAATACCCAACAGAAAAAATCATCAGTCCTTTGAGCAAGTTCACTTATTATTGTGGAGCAACAGAATCTATTATTAGTTCCTGCTATTCCCTGCAGCAAGAAACATTCTTCCTCCTTCCCTCCCCTTTCCAAAATGCAACCTATAAAAAGCATCCGTTGCTAGCAAGGCCTGAAGAAGAATCCAGTAATCTAATAAATAGATTTTTTTTGTCCCCTTTTAATATCCATTCTACAAATTAAATGTCAAAGCAGAGTGTTATTTGTATCACTTAATACTGATTATTTGCTTTCTATACTACTTAAGATCAACATTATTCTTGACTATGGCAGACATTTTGCTCCCGATTAGAGCTTCTCCAGCTCTTGGTAAAATGGATCTTGGTTTTTATTGTGGTTTCTTTTATGGTTTTGGTTTTTTTTTAATTTGTTGCTACATGCCTACTCCAGATAACAGGCCTCAAAATGAAAATTCAGTATAGAAGCAGGCCTGGATACTCCTATTAAAACGCAATTTTCCCCACTGTGTTTTGATATAAACTTTTGCCAAATCTGTGTTTTGTGAAGAGGCAAAAAAGCTCACCGAGGTAACCACACGTGGAAGGTGACTAAACCCATTCCATCTGTTGTGCTTCCAGCCCCATGAACAAACTGAACAACTAAGACAAACCTTAATAAATCCGCATCAAAGCGTTTTGACGCGTTAAGCTGCGCAACGGCTTCTAAACCAAGCAATGATTAAGTCCACGTCTAACAATCTTTTAAGTGTAACTATTTCTTACCGACAAAAAGCAGAGTGAAGATGAGGGTGAGCTGATAGACAGCGTGGCCCAGGATGTTCTTCATCATGGTGCGGGAGATGAGGGGCTTGTTCCTGCCGTACGGCTTCCGCAGCAGCAGCGCCTCCGTGGGGGGTTCCGTGGCCAGAGCAAGGGAGGCAAAGGTGTCCATGATTAGGTTGACCCACAACATCTGCACGGCTTTTAGAGGAGAGTCCTGTGGAGACAATTTTGGAAGTTACGTTATTTCCCAGGAAAATAATGGCTTTCAGGTCATAGAATCACAGAATCATAGAATCAGCTGGGTTGGAAGAGACCTCCGAGATCATCAAGTCCAACCCTTGATCCAACCCCGCTGCGATTGCCAGCCCATGGCACTGATGCCACATCCAGGCTCTTCTTAAAAACATCCAGGGACCCACTACTTCCCTGGGCAGCCCATTCCCATGTCTGACCACTCTCTCTGTAAAGAAATTCTTTCTCATATCTAACCTAAACCTCCCCTGGCACAACTTAAGACCACACCCTCCTGTCTTGCTGATGGTTGCCTGGGAAAAGAGACCAACCCCCAGCTGGCTACAACCTCCTGTCAGGGAGTTGTAGAGAGTGAGGAGGTCGTTTAACAGGCCGTCATTTCTTCTGGCAGAGCTGAGACAGGACACAGAAATACCCACAGAAATCTGAGCTGCTGTGACCTTTCTTATATTTCCTCTGCAAGACCAGAATCACAGGAAGCACAATGATCTGTGATCACTGATCTGTGATCAATGTGATCAATGATCTTCAAAGAGAAATGATTTCTCTGCAGTCATTTAAATCAGGAACATTTGCAATCACACAATTCTTACAGAGCATAACAGTGACACTTCATAATACTTATCACAGTACTCTCTGTTACCTCATGCTTAAAATTTCAGCTGAATTTAGGTAACTAAATAATTTAGGTAACTAGTTTCTTTCCTGAGAGAAAAATTATATTAAAACAGTTTAAAAAGTAATGTTTCCCTTTTTCACTATAATCTACCTACCTTTATTTTTTTTTCAGAAACAGCTTGAAATTATTAAAAATTTATAAAACAATTACAGAGATACCTTTATATATCGTATTTAAATAAGACCTTTAAAAAACAATAGTGACATTTTAAAAAAAAGCCTGATATTTTGATGTTAAAAATACTCTGAAACTTATTAAACTATATCAAATGTACAAGAGCAAGACAATCTTTTATTACAGCCACTATTATTTTACTGGAAACAGGATAGTATGTTTTGAACTATGGATATGGAATGAAAAAAGCCAAATATTGCTATTTGTGAGGATGCAGGATGTAGCTCCTGAAGCAGCTCGCCAGTCACTAGAAGGAGCTCTTTCCTCACACAAAATCTATGGTCATAGTACAGAGGACTTTAGGTTGTGTTTAAAAAACCCCAGAAGTAACTAAATAAAGCAAACACAGCTCTCAGCAAAGGCTGGACAACTATTATAAAGTTTGGATGTGTAGTTCATTGGGGCAGCTCCGAGGGGAGATTGATGCAGTTGCTTCAAGGACCCAGGAGAGAAAAAACAAAAGAGGTTCTTTTCTGTATCCAACGACCTCCTGTGCCTTCAGACCTCACAGAAAATGGGCAGCACTAGTAAGGTCTGCTTCCTGTATCAAATAGACCGTTTTTATCAGGAAAACAGAGTCTCAAAAGTAATAAGGTATGACAAATTTCATAATGAAATGGAGTTAATCTGCAGTTTGAAAGCTGGAAGAGAGCACTATTTTTGTGCACTACATTACCATGGTGCTGCAGCAGCAAAGCACAGAAATTTAGGGAACAGCATACAAAGCAAAGCAAAGCCAACAGAAACTTTTAGAACTCTGCCCTTTCCTTCAAAGGGTTAAAGATTCACTTTTAATGAAATGCTATCAAATAATATGGGTCAATACACACTCATTATCCCAAGCAGACGTGGAGAACAAGGGTAAGTGGTTTAATCTCTGGTGGATCTGGTTTATATTCAACTCCCCCTTGAGATGAAATATTATTTCTTCTTAAAACACGTTTTTAACAGAACATTTACACAAATTTTGATGCATTTCACTTATTTAAAGAAAAAAGATCCCTTTTGGCTTGTTCAAAGGGATGGAGAAAGGCAACCTACTGTTTCTAAGTCTTACAGGTTGGTTACATCATGGAAAGGAGGAAGATTAGCATTAATAGATTCTTGACCTGTTGGTTATGGGTTGCACTAACTGGGCTTATTTGGAGAGTTCAGCTCATTCACTGGATATGCAGCTGCATAAACAGGAAATGCTTTTGTCTTTAGAGGTGCTAAAAAAACTAAAAGTGGTCAGGACAAACTTCATTCCAAATCAAGACCTCATTTATTTTTATTAATATATACGGCTCCAAAAAAGAGAGAACTTGCAGTAAAAGTAATTTGCTGATAGAGCTCAGAGGCCCTGCACAGAACACAGTATATAGGGAAAAAGGAAAACATCTTGTCTGCTGAGCAATTTTTCCTTGTCATATTTTTTGCCTGTCTAGTTAATAAGTTTTCTTGAGAAACATTCTCTGAGTTGGGATGTTACGATAGCTCAATTTCCACTTCATGTGCTGACTTCCATGTCAATAAAACTGACTTTGTCTGCTATGCTTAATAAATAGAGTCAGATATTCAGGTGTCTGTCAGAGCCCGCCGTGCTCCCGGCACAACGGAAAAGCAGATTATTTCAGTCTCTAAATCACACAACTGTAATTGGCAGTCATCAGTTTTGGCAACAACGTGTTCTCACCATTTCACACTGCCAATCACCTTGGGTGGCTATGGTGCCTCTAATAATTATCTATTATTGGCAGTGCTGCACTGTTCAGTCAAGTGTGAGAGCTCATTCTAGGCTGAAGCCCAAACATTAAACACACATTAGTCTGGGCAGGCAGCGGAATGAAATTTCCACTGCAGCTCTATCTGATTTCTGATTAGTTGGTGGAAACTGAGGAAAATACATATCAGCTAAGGAGTTTGGACTTCCATTACAGATTTTAGTCACTGATGCAAGTGGGATGCAAATCAACGTTCTTTGTGCTGTGTTTTAGCCACCGACTGACTGGCTAACAGTTCTTAATTCCCTGTCTGCAGACTTTGGGGATGAAAGCTGTTCAAACTGCAAACCACCCAAAATCACCACTTATTCATCAAACTCCTTTCCACTTGACCTTGGAATAGGTTAGCACTGGCCTAGAGGTAAAAGGAAAATGTCCCTTAAATCAAGTGATGTTACACTTCATCTTGGAAACACTTAAAAGTAAAAATCGCCAAAGGCTGGAAATACACTACAAATCTTTTGTGACATGCAGAGCCTCACAAATTTTAGAGCTTGTTACTTTTGATTTAGATGACAAACTGTGAGGGAATAAAAAGGTATTTTCACCCTTACCTTTTTACTCCCACTTGTCACGGAACACATGCATAGATTCATAAAAATGAGCATTTCTGGTAGGTTAACTTTCTATATATTAATGCAAAAAAAATCAGCCCTCACTTCTGCTGCTGGATCACAGTGTCTACTAATTGTATGGAAGTGGCATCCTTAATTCTATTTCCACGCCTCTAAGCCTTGCCAAAACAAATCTAAACAGTGCAGACTTTGATTTTATATTACAGCTTTTTCAAATTTGTCCGTGCTATTATTTTAGGATTTGCCAAATATAGTTCTGCAGTAAAACATTATAACCACGTAAATTACTGCCTTATACACGTAAGTATAGATCATCCTCTTTTTTTTGAACAAGATCTGTAAAAACAATCAGTGATTCATGCAGTAGTTCAATGTTACAGTGCTTTTAATTAACATTTAATTTTCCAAACATAATGTCCTATAGAGTCACTGTTTTCAGTTCCTAATTTCTGCTAAAACATTAAGTCTTTCTCAAAGTACAAGAACAATAATTTGAATGTAAAATGTTAAAACACAGTCTTTGTCTTCCCTTTATTCAGTGCAACCTTTTGGAATAGTTACATTGCCTCAGCAGTTGGAGACACAGACAGAATCTGGCATGGAAATAAACACATTTGCTCTACAGTTCCAGTAAAAAACTGTTTCCATTTGACTGAACTGCATTTTAAAATCTTTATTTTGTTCATACCCAGATTGCTTTTAACAGCTCCAAACACAATGACCTGATGTTTTCTCGGTGCTGTGGGTATGTGGGGGACAGGAAGCAGGACGAGCCTTGTGGCTTTGTAAAGCACGTATAGAACTCTATATGACACCCAGAGATGTGGAACAATGACTCACTGGAAGTGCAAAACTCACAATGATCGTAGGCAGAGCTCCAAAGAACCACATTCACTGAACCAATCAAGGGCTCTGCGAAACCCTTATTCAGAGAGTGAAGTCAGAATGCAAGATTTGGTCTCTCATAAATCCACTGGGAAAAAAACCCGATTGGTTTAACCTGAGGCAACAGTTGCTGAACAGAAAGGACAATTATACACAAACTCTGATCACTTTTGCACGTGGCAACACAGAGAGAAAGGTAAATGAGTTAGATTAATTAAGAGATAAGGTGAATGAATGTGGCTCAGCTGCACTGTGCCACACAAACTGCACTGACACAGGACCAGAGCTGTGATCTCATCACTGGTGTTATGCATGCACTGGACACAAAATTAAGAGCACCAGTGCAGCCACAGACTGAGTGTTCCTAATTCAGCTTTCCAGCAGAGGCTTTAAGCTCTGTTTTCTTGCATGACACAGATCTCAAAATGCTTTACGTAATCGCAGACCCACAACACAAAAGTTCATTATCAGTCGAAAATTCAGAACTTGTGGCTAATCTGTAAGCCACATCTATAAGTTTACAGAGCTGCTGTAAACTGAAACAGGGCCCAGTGTAAGTTAGATCCTGTGAGGGGTAATTTTGGCAGCAGTTCTGCTAAGCTTGTCAGCAGGTGACACTGTATCTGTAATTCTTATGCTGTTTAGAATATGATTTCTGCCACCCTAACATGACTTCGTGCTGGGACCCATGACACAGAATAGCAAATGACCATTTGCATTGGTCCCTTGTAGTCTGCATATAATCTTTACATAATGCTGGAGCAGTACGTTGGGTCACACACGCTCTGTACGTGTGGTTAAACATCTCTTGGAACAGCAGACCAGGACAAAACAGAGAGAGCAGATATTGTAGATGTTCTCTAACAGCAGCATCTTGTAGAAGCAGGCATGAAGTAAATAAACAATAAAATAATATTTGTCTGAAATTAACAGAATTAAACTAAACAGCGGTTCCCCGAAGTGGAAGTGGCAAGGAGCCTCACTGTATTAATCTAATTGAGAAAAAACCAGCAGACTCTTAAAAAGACTACTAATGTTTTTCTTAAGCCTCTCCATTGCCCTCCTAAGGTGCTCTGGGCCAAACAAATCATCTCCTACGTGGGCAATGCTTTCTCTGGGTGCCCCTTGGAGGTCTGGTTTCACTCATACCAGTAATTCACAGTCAGACCCTTCATTAACACAGGGTTGCTGTGGTCCCACTGGGAGTCCTGCAGGGAGATGACCACATACTCATATTTACATGTGCACCAGTGCAGGATCAAGACTGAATAAAATTAAGTCTATTAAGTTGCAAAGCACAAGCCGTATGTTAAAAAAAAAATAAAATTAGTCCAAGCAAAGTTTTTATTATCTTTGTAGTTCCTTTAAGCACAAACAGTAGAAACCATAAAGAGTAAGTGTAAAGGAAGTTTCGTCTTAAAAGCATCCCAGTGAGCTGGTTCTGAACAGCAGAACAGATTTTCTGAGAGATGCTGTCAGGAAGCACAGAACAAACGTTACTGCTTACGTAGAATTTTTCTCGTTCTAGACTTGATGAAATATTACCAAAAAGATAGCCTGTGTAATATTCATTAACCTGAATATTAATGGTGGACTAAAATCATGCTGTGTCTGTAAAAGAAAGCCAAACTGACCACCTAAAAGCAAAGTAAAATTCAGTCCCAATGTGGACTTCCTTTATATTCATTGTGAAGGTCCCGGGAAGCTATGTTGCCTTTTGGAAACTATAGATTTTAGCTCCGTTTTTCTGTTAAGGACTAAAATGTTTCAGTCAAAATAGCAATTGAAGACCTGTGCACAGTTTTCAGAGCTGTATGTGTGCACCTCGACTGTTGTATGCAAGATTTTTTGGTACAGCTGTGCATTTTGTGCTGGAGCTATTTTTTCATAGCAACCAGAGAGTACAGTATGTTCTCAAGTGCAATTTTTAGTAAAGCTTAAGAGCCAAACAGAATGTCCTTTCGCTGGCTGGAGTCAAAGCCTAACATAATAACGTTCATTGGCGAGGTAAAATCCTTCTTGAATGAGACAGAACCGAGAGCTGCCCGAGATTATCCGCGGTCAGGCCGCGGAGTGGGAACGACGACAGAGGAAACAACTGCTGCCCTTCTGCCACCATCTCATTTTCAGCTCCTTTCAGACCTCTCCTCTGCATCTGCATCTTTACTGCCAAGTTGAGGAATTGCAAGGAAATACAGGAATACTGGGAGTGTCCATTAGAACCTGTAAACAGGGACAACAGACTTGGCAGGCTCGGTCCAAACCCTTCTAGAAGCCAATGGAATGATTCAAAGGATGAAATTAAAAAGGGGAATATACTTGCACTGATTACACACTTCACATCCGCTTAGACTTGATTTAAAATAGTCCTTGCACTGATTCAGTAATGTTTAACCTCTTCAGGAATAAAATAGAAATTCCTTAGCTGGTGAATAGCTAGTGAAGACCCTTTGTCCTTTCACGAAGCAACTGAAGATGCTGGACATAAAACAAAAAATTTCACCTTAAATAAATGTTAGTAGGCAGCAACTGAATAAAAGCTGTCTACAAAACAGGGTTTTAAAAGAAGCCCTTGGCTCAGTTCCAGTGATGCTGCTCTGACCACCTAAGCCCTTTCTTTCTGTATGGTTTTGTACCACTCATAAAAATCTCCTGGAGTCTTAGTCCTTTTCCTTCTGTTATCAGCAACAATCACTTCACAGTTAAACATTTTCTCAACATGCCTGAAAATATTTCCCAAGGGAAGAGGGAACCTCATCCAACTTTGCTGCAACATCACTAGTTTTGTGCCTCAGCACAGGCTCAGTTGTGACAAGGCACCACCATGGCCTCGAGATATCAGTCAGGGCGTAGGAGAAGTTTTACCTCATGGTAAAGGTACCCAGGTCTCTGGTTTCAAGTATCAATTCCATGATCACAGTGTAAGTTTACCCCAAGCAGAGCTGATGATTTATTCATTGGTTTGCTCAGGTGTTCATGAGGTGAAATCTAGCTGTGGAACAGGTATGGCATCTGTGTGATGCACCATGGGGGGAAGCATCAGCTTTCCCATAGCATGTCTCAATCCAAGGAGGCATTTTGTAACAACACCTGCCTGCAGCATCTGAAATCTATATTATTTTAGGCAGTGACAGCACTAAAACCCACATTTTGCTATTTTCTGTTCAAAGACAAAACTCTTATACTCTGCTTAATTCACCCTTTTTTCTCTTCAGGGAAAAGAAAATTGTATTTTATTAATCAAAAAGCAATAATGTGAAGGTAAGAAAATGTGGTTTGCCTTCAGGTATGCTTTTTATAAAAGACTTAAACATGTGGCATGTGAACCAGGATTGCACTGAGGGATTGATGGAGAGGAAGAAAGAGATGTCAAAGTCCAACTCTGTGTGTCATTTAATTGGTTTGTCATTTGCATCTGAAATTAAAAAGAATTGCCTGAAAGCAACAAAATAATTTTATCAGTCAAAAAGATCCCCTGCTGGGATTACTTCTGTGTGGCAGTACTGCTCTCTTGAAAATAATAATCCCATTCCATAATCCATCAAAAGCACACATTTAACAGTGAAATATTCTGAGAGGAAAAGGCAAATTCACATAACCTCTTCCTGACATTGTCTGTCCTATCATCAGGCTCAGAGATGACAATAATATGTAATTAAAAGCAGGGAGGTATATGGAGGCAGCACAAAAATTAACAGCTCCTAAACAAAGCTAAAGAAACAGCAAGTTTTCTCAAAGAAACAGCAAGTTATTTCGGGGAGAAGATGGGTTAGTGCACTTCCATACACCAACAGCTATTTAACATCGAGCGGCTCAATCCTGAACACACTTAAAACACTCAGAACTTCAAAAAGCATATTTGCTGCTTACAGAGGGTCAAATGTGAGCCAGCAGCACTCAGTGTGGTGGGATTTGGCCCTGGATTGCCTCACCTGAGTGATGCAGGCCCCGGTGAAGGCCACGATCACGGCCACGATGTTCACGGTGAGCTGGAACTGCAGGAACTTGGAGATGCTGTCGTAGACGTTGCGGCCCCACATCACAGCCTTCACGATGCTGCTGAAGTTGTCATCTGTCAGGATGATGTCAGAGGCTTCCTTTGCAACATCTGTCCCTGCAATACCCTGGAAAAAAATCAATTGGGAACGAAATGATCTACTGGAAAATATAGGGGCAGGTAGAACTCAAATCTTCCTGCTCGTTCCAAGTCCACAGTTGTACGAAGGTTTCCCAGCATAGTAACAGTGGCTGCTGAGTATATTCTGCATTTTATATTTGCTGGAATGCAGCTCATTTGGTCTATTTTTGAAGTGAATAAGGACGCAGAAAAGGGAACTGACAGAGCAGTGGAATTCATGTGATGATAGTTCTGAGTGTTTTAAGTTATCAGCTTAATAACTAATGATCTTCTGAGTTATTTTTATCATGGAGGATTTTATAAATATATATCATCAGAATCGGTAACAAAAATTAAAATGATGTATCTTAATATATACAGTCAGAGTACACTTGGAAGACATCTTTATGTTTAGTGATAGATTTTACCAAAGCTAAATAGTATTCTACTGTTGGGAAGAAAATACTTCATTTTTCTGTATGGACACAGGATTCTGCATATAGCCAAGAATTACTTTAGGTAAAGTAATTGAAAAAGTATCAAAATATGCAACAGCAGTGAATCTGACACAGTAAATTAAAGGATTCTGATGCAACATGACTCACTCCCTCCAATATATGTCTTCACTGACAAGTAACAACTAAGCAACTTAACATTTAATGAACGAAAAACATTTCTAATGACACAAATACCAACAAATATGCTGGAGATTATACCATTGCAAAGCCAACATCAGCTTTTTTAAGTGCTGGTCCATCGTTGGTTCCATCCCCAGTCACAGCTACCACCTGCCTCTGCTCCACCTGTGTGCTGTCAATGATACCTGCAGAACATGGACAGGAGTGTGGGTACAGACAGATGGAAAATAATCAGCAAGATAAAACATCCCTCCAAAAAAGCAGGGCCTGGATCATATAGAGCTCATAATACCACACAAGTCTTACAGAGTTGATCTTGAAGGAAAATAATGATGAAAGCAGTGTCATCACTCTTACACTACTAGACATCACTATTAGAAATTACATGGAAAGTTCTGATCCTGCATCACCAACACATCAACAAAACCTGCACAGACTTCAAAGGGAATGAGATCAGCTCATTATGTCCTTTTGGAAGGTTTTTACTATTTAAAATTATGTGTCACAGTAAACCCATCACTCTGATATATGGAAAGGATTTGCCAAAGACTTAAGTTTTTAAGACCTGATTGCTTAAGGCTCTCCCAAACTGTGCCCAAACTGTAATACCAGCTTTACTAGAAGGCCTTCTGGCAGTCAGTTTAACCTAAAGATAAGAAACATCACTGCTGAATTTGATTTAGCTGCAGCCAGATGAGCATTTAAACAGCCGTGTTCAATTCTGCCAAGCAACGATTAAGAAGGTAGGAAATAATTCTTTAAATTCTGGAGCCAAACATTTTAATAAATAGACATAATAAAATAATTTCTACTTTCATTTTGAGATTATTGGAGAAAAGAAAGCACTTCTCACTTGGTGAATCAATTTTCACACAACTAGCCTGCAGGGAAGTATTTTCCACTTATGCAGATAGGGAAAGTAAGGAAAAGAATGAAGAATTTTTCTATGGCTACAGAAACAGCCCAGTTTTTTAACAGGATGTGGATGGATCATTCACCACTCATGTTTTTATTACCATATCAGAGTCCATTTGAATATGGGTCCAGAACACAGGATTATTGTATAGGATACAAGAACACCTCTCCATATTAATAACTTAGGGGGAGAAATGACAAAATTCCTTATGCTAAAGCATTTTGCACAAAGTCATAACCTCTAAAAACAATTATCAAAAACCTACCCAGTGTGAAAAGCTTTCACTCTACTGTGAAAAAAAATAAAAAATCACTCACATATCAGATAACTAACCAGAAATAGGAAATTGCAGATTACAGAGCAATAGCTGCCTCTTGGCAAGGTTCAGGCTTATCAGGCACCAGAAGATTGCAGAGCAGTGTGGAAGCAGTTAGTGCCCTGTATTTTTCAGACTTATGAAAATCAGAAAAAAAAACCTATCTCAGATAAATGGCACATTATTCTGATAAGATCTTACAATTACAGCTTGCAGTTTGTTGGGGTGATTTGCCTTTGGTATTATTAAGTAAACAGGGACATCATCTCTCATTACTACTAAAAACATTTATCTTGGTCTTCCCCTTTTATTATTTATGCATCCTTTGATGTTAAATTAATAGTTGAGGTTTCTGAACAAAAAATTGTTAAATCTTCTGCTAACTGAGTTCCAAATGGGAGCACAACTCAAATCAAGTTGAGGAGGTTCTAATAATCTCCTAATAGATATAAATGGCTATAAATAGTGACTAATGTTGATGACTATACTACCACTGCCCTGCATCAGCCAATTGCTGGATGCTCCTAAGTAATTTACAGGGTTTGGTAGTCATTCTCAAGGTTTAGTAGTAATTTTTATCCCTAAAAGCAAACTGTGCAGCTGGGATAAACCCAGATCATGGAACTTCATAACCAGCAGCCATAGAAAAATAGAGATAAAATGGTCTCAGTTATCACCAGCATCTGAGCCCCAGACCTGCAGTGCAATGCCATCAGAAATATGGCAATGCATGGCACAATATTATGGGGATGGATCTCAGTGCTATCCATGGGAAGAGAGAAGGTCTTTGCAAAACTGTCAGACAAATTTCTAAAATGGAGCAGTAGCGATAATTTGGGATTCAGAGGATTTATCACAGCCACACTTACGCTCTCTGACTTCTGCCTGCTCTTTTTAATCTGTTCCCCCTCCCCTTCCTCGCACTGCTGAATGTTTGCCTTCTTTCCAGCACTCACCTCCTTCCAAACACATTTACTTTTTATATTTTTTAACATCACTCCGTTCATGGCTGTGATAAGTTTTCACCTGAAGGATTTTCTTCAGTATTGAGTAACATATAATATTAACAACTATCTAATATTTACAAACAGTGTAAGGAGACCAAAGAGAAGAGTGATGCCCAGTAAAGGCTCTCCCTCTGCAGTTCTGAGCTGTGGAGATCAACTGCTCAGTGAAAAATGGAACTGAGGACACGACCTGACAGACGGCCAGGAGAGAGAATGACCATTGCTTTAGCATTCCCTGGCCTTTCCATTCACTCTAAGTGGTTAAAAAGAAGCTTTGGTATTAATTAGCCATGTCTAACATTAAGGGAATTTCTTCAAAATAAACTGCTTCACTCCAGCTGGATGTTTACACACAGTATTTTAAGAAAAACAGGTTTGCAACGTGCATCGGGAGAATTCTTAAACTCTCAGCAAAGCTTCCTGCCAAAACAGCCTTGGCTGTTTAAGTCCCTCATCTTAAGCTGTTTGACCATGACTTTCTTCTGTCAAAAAGAATTTTATTCTACAGCCACAGGAACACACCTAGAGCATAACATTACAGTGTGTTGCACACAGGGGTTTTGCTGACGTGGCAGGAATTTGGGAAGGAGGCACGGAACTTGCATAAGGCACAAGTTTTTCAGGGCAAGCGGTTTGTTTTGGATGAGGGAAAAGATCATATATAAAACAACTATGTAGAGCTGTCAAGAAGGGCACTGTATGCATAAGCTTGCTATAAAAAGTACCAGCACTGCATATGCAACTGGAATTTATCCTGGATTTCCCACCTCCCTCCATCTAACATTAAGAAAGCCTTAAATCAAATGCACTCAGGATAATAATTTAAAGAATATTAACCAACAATGCCTCTTCCATTCCTTTAACAAGGAGCTATTTATACCCATGGCTCAGATCACAACCATCAAATGTAGCCTCAGGTTCTCCCTTTATTGTAGAGTAAATGCTGCTCTATTTAAACAATCCTCACTTGCATTGTCACCCTTAGAGTGCATCAGTAAGAAAACCTTGGCTCTGGGAGGAAAAAAAAAAATAATCCTGGTTTATATGTTTGTTTCTGTCTCAACTGATTAACTCCAAACAGGCAGGCAGGAAAAACTCAGCTGCAGCTGAGCATTTCCAAGGTGCACACCAGTTCAGGTGTTAGCAAAGCTGATCCTCCCAGAAATATAAATCCACAGATTTATATTCCTTTGACAAGCTGAACACAGGCAGACGCAGTAATATATTTTCATGTTCATGTTCTCTTCAGATTAGTTTTTAATGCTGCCAAACCTCCTTGTTAATTTAAGAGGAATTTAGAAAGTCTGTCTGAAAGAGGAAACTCAAATTCATTTTAGTTACGGGCTTAAGTGCGTGTGTGGATAGAGCTTTAAAGGGTAATGTGGAAATGTTATATTTGACATTACAGACAGCACTGGCAATTGTTAACTGAACAGTCCCCCCCAAAGCTCAGGATATCAGAATGCAGAGCAGAACACAGCTAAAACACCAGGGTTTCTAAACTAAACACGAATGTTTTTTCACTGAAACCCTAAAGGGGAACCTTGAAGGCATCAGTGCCCCCCAGCCCTGCACTTCACACCCCCCACAGAGCCCTGGCTGTATTTACAGAGCACAGACCTCCAGACTCGAATGCAGGAGAGCTCCTACTTTCTTTAAGCCATTTTTATGTTCTTTGCTTCAGGTTGAAGTTTTTTACGTTGTGGAACAGGTGAACTTTCTGAATATTTCTTCACAGGAATTTAAAGAAAAACAAGCTTTGACATTTTCTCTCCCATGGAAATCAAACCCAGTTGCAACTTGCAACGTGCTGATATTTAATTTTAGAATTTCGATTGATGCACTTTTCTGTATTTTTGTTATTCTACCCAGTCTCGTGGCATGTTGGCATTAATGAGGTTGTAAATATAATACCACCCCATGCAATAATATTTGAAATATTTTAGTAATTAAGGGTAATTATTACTAATCTTTTCTTCTTTAAAGTTCCTTTTCTGCTTGTTAACAAACCAGCCTTACATGAGAATATCTGATTTCAATATTTTTTAAATATGAGGTTTTTAAATTATGTTTCAATATCACAAAAATAATTCCAGTTCAATTTGAATATATTGGAAAATATGTATAACTGGTAAAGTGAATATTTCTTTTATCTTCTATATCTTCTTCTACACTTTCTGATGATATTTCCCATCAGCACTAAAGAGATTCTTCCCATAGTGTTTTTTTTTAAAAAATGACAATTTGGAATTATTTCAGCAATAACTTTATAAGGACATATCAGTATAAATGATGTGTGTTTTTACTTGTTATATTTTAAAATTGGGTAAAAAATATGAAATAATACCAACAGGTGCCTTAAAATCCATATTGTATTTCAGTAGGAGACTGAGATATCTAAGATTTTTATTTCACTTAAACAGCTTGTGACAATAAACCACTTTAGAGTATTTTTTTTTCCAATCTACCTCTACTTCAAAGCCATAAATAGTTGAAAGCAACCGTGTGCCCAGCCTGAAATGCTGAACCATGCCTTCCTCTAGTCCCTTAGCAGCAGTAAAAACAAAAAGGAAAAATAAAAATGATCCTTTTGCTGGGTGGGATTGTGCTATGTTAACGAGAAAAAAAAAAATATTCCCTCCAGCAGCTGCATGTCATTAAAAATTAAATATGAAAAAAGTTTATTTTCTGACGTGTATTTTTAGCCCAGAGCAGATAGAATACATCAAAGGAGAGAAAATCCTCTTGATCCCTCAAGTGTCTGAGAAAAACATAACATTTTAACAAGAGGCCCAAAACTAGTGAACATTTAAATAGTTTCTTGTAACTTTTAATGGCCCCTGGGGTATTACCAGCCAAAAAAATTCTATCATGATTTCCAGAGAGTTGTTCTTGAACTTCGTTACATACTTAATTGCTCTGTCACTTGACCTTGCCACATCTTTAAAACATTAATTGTATCAGTTGCACATGGCATTCAGTAGTAAATATCTTTGGCATTGTCAAAGTGCATATGCTATAAAACATCAACAATTTCTTGCCTTTTTTTTTTTCTTCAGCTCTCTATTGATTTCAATTTTCCTGGAAAAGGTTTCATTTTCCTCTTAAGGGAAAATCCTGAATCATTCAGACGACTACTCCCAAGGGACTTATTTAATCCACTTAATGAAACACAAATTGTTGTGTTTCTGAAACAAATAAACTATTAGGCTGTACTATTATCTGTTCTTTAAGAGGTCTAAGACAGGATTTTATATGCACAAGTGAAGGGAGGAGACTTCAGCTGACTGTGTGCTGTTTTCATCCTGATATATGGAGCTAACAATGCTCTCCAAACATTTTCAATCCTCAGTACCTATCAGTAAAATGTTTTCCAGCACATCTCCCCCAAATACGTATATCATTTATAAATTACACATTTTTACTACTATACTAATAAATTGTGGACATTATAAAACATATATGGAAAAGGAGGAGATAGAGTTTAAACAGGATGTCTCCACCTGCCCTATCCAGCATTAGTGCCAGGGTTTACAAGATATGGATTGTTCAGGAGAATTTCAGTGTTTCCAGAGCTCTTCACACTCACCAGTTTCAATCCCAAAGGACCCAACTGATCCAATCTTCAAATTCACAGTGGAACTTTTGCTCTAAAGACATTCAGACATTTTTAAAAATGCCATGATGCTCAAAAGCCTTTGTAATCAGTCATGTATGGAGGCATGGCCAGGAAATCTTGTACAGCCAGAGGATTCCCCATCTAAATGTGAATTACTATTTAAGCAGTCAACCAACTGAAAATGTGTCACTGATCAGCTGGGTCTTATCCTGAATTTTAGCTCCTCCAAGATTTGCTAAGAAGGGGCTCTCCAGACCTTGCAGGGCCTTAGCAAAATAATCCAGCTCTTTCTTCAGGAAGCCAGGAAAGAGCCATCTGCCAATGGTTCTTCCACCTGTGCCAATCCCCCATCCCAGCAGGGCTAAAAATGACGTTTTTGCTGATCAGAAACTGTCTGATTTCATCAGCTTTCAAGTGTGAGCTTCAAAGTCAACAGAATAAGATGTCAAGTCATCAAAAATTGCGAGTTACAGTTATGAAAAAGGCTCTATAAAGAAAATTGGAAACCAATCCCTCTTTCACAGAAGCATTCCATCTGCAGACAGCACGGGGAGAGAACATCATTTGTATAGTGCAGTTTTTACAGGACAGACTCTAAAAATACAGCCAGAAATCTAAAGGAAGCCAGTGCAAATCATACAATTAGTGAGTCTATAGGAACAGGGAATTGGCTCAAAATCCCCATCTCCACTCATGGAATGCTAATGGGGGCAGCTCCGAGTTACACCATCACAAAATCTGCTGTTGTAACAGGAAAAGTTTCTTTATCTTGGAATATTCTTTAAAAATAATTGTCGGAGAGCAGATGCACTTGAGAGACTTGATTCACTCTGAGATTGTTCTCATCTTAAAGGTATAGGCAAAGACTATAAAATCTGTGTCCCCTCTTGTTGATATGAGTAACACCCTGTTTCTCAACACTATTTGCTTTCTGACCAGCGAACACACGTTTTCCCTTCCCATCTAGGGCCTCATTCCAGTCCAATTCGAAGTCACAAGGCAAATATGAGATTGTCTACATCTATTTGCCAAACATCTTATTGGTATTTCTCCTACTCCTGCCAAAGAGTTCCCTATTATTTTCCACCTCAAGGCTGAGGCCGAGCACAAACAGCAGTGACCTGGTTACCGAGAAAACTTCCTGGCATTAAGGAGAGATGTGCAGTTAAAGGTAACAACTCAGCTATATTTGTGACAGCAAAATCTTTACAAGGCAGATGATGTGCTGCAGTAACTGTGGCATTAACTTCCACACACCCACCTTTCACCAAAGTGTGTTTGTCCGTGGGGGACGAGCGAGCAAGAACCCGGAGCTTTGGCCAGATTTTGTCAATCCGCTCCTGCTCAATCTGGAGAGGGGAACACACAAAAAAAAAAACCAAACCCAAAACAATTAACCTGTGATTAGCAAAATGCATAATGTATTTGTGTCTGTGTGTCTGACAATTCACTGCTCAAACCTGCAACTTTTCTCCAAAAGCACAGGGAAATTACAACAGTCATCAAGCTCAAAAAAGGCAGTTTATTACTACCAGAGCTCAGCTGTTGACTAACAGGGAAATTTTTGGCACAGTATCTAATCAGCATTTCTTAACATCTTTATGGATAAGTCCACATGACTGCAGATACAGGATTGGGGAACTTCTCAAAGCTTATCAAACATGTTTACAAGTTTGTTGCTATACTCTTCATTTTAATCCAAGTTCTTCATTTGGCACCAACAACGGCAAAATTTTCTCTGTACAGCAACAGGAACAAGGACAAATCTGCTGCATATACCAACATTCCCAGGATTCCATCCATCAGTGCAAGGAGTAAAGGACTGTGTCTGCTCATTAATGATGGACTCAAAGAGACAGCATAGATTTTACTTTTTTAGAGCTGACTTCCAATATCCTGTGCGTGAGCTCCATCATTTATGAGGAGTTAAAAATCCTCAGAAGAATAGATTTTTATGCAAATCGTTAATGTGAGTACATTAGATAAAGTGGAATAAATTAAAGCAATGAGAGGAGCTGGTTCTCAGAACAGACTGCGTTTTTAGGAGCAAAATTGTTGTTGAGCCCCTTCTCCTCCTTACTACAAACCTTTAATGTGCTTAGTTTTGATTTCTTTTAGACCAGTGCTCTGGATCTAAAAACTTCAGAATTGGGCCAGCACTGAACTGATACCGGCTCTGCATCAGGAAAAGTAAAGACTAGAATTTCACTGCTGTTTTGAACTGGAAAAGGCTGGGGGTAGGAAGAAGCAGCAATGTTTCCAAGGAGTCTTTACCCATCCGAGGAACACACCAGCACAGGAGAAATATTGCAGTGTTCTCACAGGTTTCTAATAATGCATTGTCCTAGTTAGAACAGCTGGGAGCAGTTTATCACTGGATGGGTGTAACCCAAAACTGTGTATTCTACAGCCTTCCATGCCATTGCCCAGAAACTGTTATCAATAGAGCATTTACACCCTCTGCCCAGAGCACCCCTGACTCCTCAGGCTGTAAACTGGGTGTTCAGAGGCCTGGAGATAGGAGGGTGCTCCTGTCCTCACACCCAGTGTGGAACTGTGAGATAGGAGGATACTCCTGTCCTCACACCCATTGTGGAACTCCCCTCCCTGAGGGAGGTACTGAGCATTCCTGCCTGAACTGGAAGATATATAATCTTGGAGTCTTGGGACTTTTTTAACCACTCGTGGGACCCAGAGGAAGACTGCAGACCACCACTCTCAACCAGACTGCAGATCACCACTCTCGACTGGACTGCACCAGCACTCTCACCAACAGGTTTTTTCCCTCTTCTTTTCCTTTGGACTCGGGGCCCAAGGAACAGCACTCTGTTCATGCCCCAGGGTGCTGGGTTATACATTTGGGTTTTGTGGGTTAAAACCAACTGTTTGTCTGCATAATCGTATTTACTGTATTATTTTATTAAATTGCTATTCTGACTTATACCCTCTCCTTTGAGTTGAGCTCATTTCCCCTGCTGGTTTACCTTTAACCCAGCACACACATTCATGGATTTAGACTATGAGTTACCTCTCCCTTCTCGTTTCGGATCCTTCTGTTGAACTCTTTCCCTTCGAGGCAGAGAAAGTCTTCTCCTGGGTGGATGATGCCACACTTTATGGCGATGGCCCGGGCTGTGTTGATGTTGTCCCCGGTGACCATGCGGACCGTGATTCCGGCTCGCTGGCACTTCCTTATGGCTTCTGGCACCTGCCAAGCAGGGAAGAAAATTCCCAGGTAAGAGCTGAAGTGCCAGTCAGGTGTTCCCAGCTGGAATGTTTGGAGGCTGAGAAATTCGTGAAGCAAAAAGAGAACTCGGACATGTTATGGCTTATTATTGTTACTGGGCTCTCAGGGAATTGAGGTTACACCACGGGCAAGGCAAACCCTGCATGAAGAAGCAAAAAAACCTGTCTTTTAGATCAGTTGCCTAAAGTTTCTCCTGACTTGAATACAAATGAGTGCTCTGCAGCTTTATTGACCTTCAGCAGCAAAGTACAGTGTGCTGAGCCAAACATACGTGGGAATATGAATGCAGAATACACATATTTTATGCAGACAATTATTTGACTTCTGAGTCAAGTTTTGTTTCAATAAGATTATTTTTAAAGTTGTTGTAATTTAGCACTATCACACTAATTTGTGCTTATCAACAGGTGAAATTTCTAAACATAGGAGTTTAAAATCACATCCATATTCTTTGTATTTCAAAACCTTAAAAATGAAACATGACTTTAGTTCTGCTCCCCTGTTGCACAGTGAGAGAGTATTCAGTGTGTAACAGGGTCTGTGAGATTAATACAGAAGCTGTATAATGACTTGGCATCATATACATCTTATTTTTTAAGAAAAGAAAGATTTTTATAATTAAAATGTACAAGATCTGGGAGATTCATTCCTAACATTTAAATAAAACTCTTTTAATACAGCTATTTGGGTATATGAAGCCTACAGAAAGGCTCCATGTCTACAGCTCAATTTCAGATGGGGAAAAAAAAATCCATTCCCTTAAACTATATCATAATTCATGATTCATTTATAAATTAATATCACTAACCAACTAATTCTGTCTCAGGATATTTTTACATTATTATGAAAGCATTATTTCTTCAAGACAAAAACAACAATATTATTTGACAGGGAAGAATAAGAAAAGTGTTTAACACATCAAGAACAGCCTAAATAAGTATGTTCAACACATCACCACTTCTCTAAATTTCATTTTTACCTTAGAAGGGTCTAAGGACTCATCATGATGACTGAAGCCCTTCACAGAGCTACAGGAAAATGAACTGCCTTAGTACAGAATACAGAAAAGGACAGATGAATATAAATATATATATATATACATGTGTGTGTGTGTGTATAAATAAATATTTTTTTAAAACTATTTTAGAAAGGGTAATAAAATGGACATTACTGGTTACAATATGAAAACCTGTCTATATTCTTCTTGCCAGTTCAGTGCACCTTGTTGGTCACAACCTCTGTCATAGATATAAGAATATTGCAGAACTCAACACCAATTAGAGTAGATTAATCTCATCTGTTAGTGTGAAAAATGTTAAGAAAAAGAGACACCATCTACAAGCTTGCACTGCTAATTTTGTGCATTTCTAGATATTTTAATTTCCTCTGTGGCCACAAGGATGTGACACTGCTGAGGGCAGGAAACTGCATTTACGTGACAACCCTTGCTCTGAGCCAGAGTGGCAAATTCTGCACTCCTAAGGATTTCCTGGGGCCACAAAAGCTGAATATCTCAGACTGAAATTGTTCACCCTTAAACCATACCCTAGATCATGGTTATTCTAATCAGTGGATAATTTCACATCATGTTTCTGCATATTTATTACAGGCAGTTGTGAAGCTTTTATTTTCCAAAATGCCTCACCAAACCAACACCTAATTGAGGACCATAATAGTGCTTTTCCCATGATTACAAGGAAAAGCACCCCACTCTCAGAATGTGTCCCCAGAACGTGCTGTTTGCAGAATGGCTCTGCCAATACAAATTACAGAACCAAGGGAAGAATTCAGGGACAGAGTTTTATCTTCCAGTTCCCTCATCTCTCGCTGAGAATATTCTTCCCACAAAGTTGTACCCTGGAAGCATTATTTGGACCTCAAGCCTTTTAATATTATGAAATAGATTTCTAGACAGGAATGTACAATCAGATTAAATCTATTACTTAAGCAAATGACTCCTGATCTACCCAGTTTCCACATTAATAATCCTGACTATATCCCATTTGTCAATTTGAAATGCCCTTAGTATCCACTTTAACTGTGGTGACCCTCATGCATAGGACATGACAGATTTAGATGACTATCTGGAAAAGCAGAACAGTGTATGAACCATGAAGGAGAAAAATAAATTACAGTGCAAAAAGAAAAAAATGGTCTATTCCCACAAAGTGCCAGTCCTATTAAACAAGGTCAGGGGAGGACAAGCCAGTTTCAAACACATCTCAAACTTGCATATAACGAGAGAAATCATTCTGTCTTCCTCTTCTGTCATTTTCTGGACAGCTGGTGGGTGGTATCTGATTAAATACTGTGTACAGTAATTACAGTTAAAATATTGTTCATATTTTTTTATTGCTGTAAGGGAGAAAGAGTGTTGGCAGACTGAGTGGGCAGTGGAAGCAGATATTTTCCATCAGTTTTGCAGAGCTTAAGCACACATTGTACAATATCTTGGTTTATTTTCTGTCTGCAAAGAAAAACTTCCAATGCATGCATGCATGCATAAAGCATCCAGTGCAGGAATCTCCTTCTGAATCAGGTGACAAATAAATGGCAGAATTTGGAAGTGATTTACGTTCTTCTCCCAGAAATAACAGACTGTGGGTGTTCATTGGCAAATCAGTGGAAGGCAGTTCAGACTCATTAAAATCAAGCCAGAAAGGCTGTCAGAATCAACAGAGGACCTCTGCAGGAACAAGACATCATTTTATTTGTTCTCTTCTTGTGTATTTATCAAAGACAAATAAAAAAACACACACACAGTGTATATAAATATCAAGCAAGTAGTGCTTGATAAATCCAGCTCCTACTAACAAGTAAACTGGTGTGTGAATTAACCTGGGAATAATGCAAAAGCCACAGGCATCCATGGTTGGCATTCCAGACAAATCTGGAGAGTTGCTGGACATCATTGTTGAAGAATTCGTGCAAATAGTTTCTTTTAATGCACGGAAGGAGATGTGAGTGCAAGGGAGCTCCCAGCAGGACCACGAGAACAGATGCAGCACTGAAACCACAGCAGCAGGACCCCACTGACCCCACAGGGATTCCCAAGGGGAAACATTCCATGGATGCACAGGAGCCGTGTGCCACAGCAGCTCTGTACACACCATTATCCATGTGTTAACTCCAACAATGAACTTAGGGAAAAGGAAAAACTGAGCCTTCCCCAGGAAACATGGGAATGTAATGTAAGTGAAGATAAAGGCTGCCAGGATCATGAGATTGGATTGTTTCATTGGAATTACTTAATCTATCACTTCTGTCAGAATAAATTCTGATATCCACGAATGCTGAGAATATCAATAAAACAGCAGTTGTAGTAGTATTTCTAATTTTTGTGTGTTTTGGGTTTTTTTTTTTGCCAGAGAGAAAGCACTTTGAAAATTCATACACTCCAGTGGTGACTCTATCAATGATTGGGCTTAATTCTGGCAAAATATTGATATTCCTTATAACTACTCAGCATCTTTGAATTTGCATCAACAATGGTGATTTCATGCATGTATATCATGATATTCCAACCAAGTCAGACATTCCATAACTAGGCAGGTTTTCTGAAAGTTATAGTTGTATTCTGGCTCTGGGTTTTTTGGTTCATTTCTTTTTTCCTGTGGTACAGTTACTGCTTTTTACTAGTGTGTGGAGTGGTAATAATAGTAATAATTCAAACATTGTTTTAGATGCAATTATTTAAACATTGTGTTAGATGTTCCCATGATGTTATTATCACTTTGAAACAGTCAAAAGGAATAAGGTGGGGAAAAAAACAAAACAAAGCACAGAGTCCCAAAACCCAGATGGGTTTTACCAACATTTGGTAGAATTCTGAAATTCTAAATATTTGATTGTGTGTCTTGTAATGAAGTAAGAAGTGTTACTGCATATTCTGGTGTTAAACCACAAGAAATTCAACACATTATTCAAATATTTCTTTAGAAATAAGATGTTTTCCTGCCTTCATCTCCTCTGATTCTTTACATAGCAGTCAGATTTGACCTCTTTATTTTCAGTAGCGTTATTCACTTTTACCTCATGCTCCAAAGAAATTATTCCCTACGAGATGAGAGCAGTACTCTTACAAAACACACTCATAATAATCACATGAAAGGATAGTTTGCAGCTATTTTCAATAATAACTCCAAATCCCACTGCTACACAACCCCTCAGTCTCTCACACCACACATCACCACACTTAAAGCTGTTTTCTAACGTGTATCATGAGTTGATTTTGGAGGGATAGAGGACTCACTGACAGTTCCAGTGGTCACTGAGAAAATCTTTCTGAGTTGTATATATATATATATGAGCTAAAGCATTAAAGGAACATTGCAGACACAACTTCTTAAGGATGCTTTAAAACATTTTTCAAGACTTGCAATGTCAGGCTTAGGGACAGATGGGTTAGCAGCAAGAGACCATCTGATGACAGATAAAGTGAGTACTGGTGTTAGTGGAGATAAGGAGTTTATCATACAGTTTTCACCTAAGCAAGGGGGTTTTTTTTATATTATAACCTTGATATTGAAAAATGCACTCAGCAATGTCCATTATCAGGTAAAGAACAGTTATGTTGGTACCTGTAGTTGTATTGTGTTAGTTCCCAAAGTCACAGCTCTTACAAGTTTGTAAAAACCTACTTTATAAAGAATTCAGGGAAATAAGTCAGAAAAATCTATAATTTTCATGTTTTAGTAAAAAAAAAATAAAACCCTTACATGTCTAGAATTGCCAAAAATTCTCAGTGAATCAAATACAAAAATTCTGACATGGTTAAAAAAGATCCAGCAAAGATGTAAAATGAGACAGAAGAACCAAAAGAGACAAAGATGGGCAACAAACTACTTTTTGTGCAGCATCAGAACTGACAAGAAAAATCTGAGTTATCTTTCCCTGACCTCACTCCAAAGTAAACCATAGCCACTAACCATGTACTGAAGTAACAGCAGGATCAGAGCAAAGAGAGTGGAAACTCCTGGATTGTACACTCAGCACTTCAACTCTGGGACTTACCTTCTGTCACTGCTTCTAAACCCTAAAACTGAATTAATTCTCCACTGTCACCATTAATTATCAAGCACCACATATCTATCTATCTATCTATCTATCTATCTATCTATCTATCTATCTATGTCAGAACAGTTTCTACTTCCTATTCCACCCTTGGTACTACTGAGTAATATAATTTACAAGTGTAGTAGCAGGCACATGCTTCCAGTGTGAACACCTAATACTGATTTTCTCAGTTGAGTTGAGTTGAAATTTTAGTCGTATTTATAGAAGCCATTTAAACACAGTACCCATGAAACCTTCAGCCTTTTCATGGCAGCCTTTCCTTGTCCAAATATATTAAAAGCAAGTTTTTCTGAGTAATCATCAGGTACAATTTTAAGACCATTAGTAAAGTGGCAACTGTTACAATAAACCACAAAACTCCAATTTCTGGAGAAAATGAGCATGTTGTCCTTATAGTCATGGCAATTATAATCACTGCACGTCTTCTTTGCTTGCAGAGTTGCACATCACTGAATTACTACAAGGAAAATTCTTTAATGTGTGGGAGCACATTAAAATTTCTGCTGTCCTCCTGTACACTACTCCTCGACAGAAGGTTAAGTCATCTCCATCCTGTAGTTCAAAAAGCCCTATATTTCTTTATTTAAATATCTGTTGATTGCTAGTTGATTTTTATCAGGTTAGTAATTTGGCCTTTTATCAAGTAAAGCCTGTTTCTAAAGCTCCCTTCCATCTTCTTCGACAGAACTAATTTAAAAGAATAAGATAAAACCCGTAAGAAACCTGTGACTCAATTTATATTCAGCTCTCTGAGAAAGGTTTTACAACATGAGAATTGGACATACCTCTGGCCTTACTGGGTCTTCAATGCCAACAACACAAATGCAAGTCAGGTCAGATAAGATGTCGTTCTCGTTGTCCCAGTCGGGCTCTGGGCTGCTGGAAAAGTCTCGGAAAGCCACACAGATGGTTCTCAGCCCATCACAGGCCATGGGCTCTATGACTTTCTTCACCATTTCATCTCTGTCCCGTGGTCTGAAGACACGAGGTTCCCCAGCTGCGTTGAGGATCCTGGAACATCTGTTTTATTTAGGGAAAAAAAAAGGTTGATTCTGTGTTTGCATGAGTACTGAAAAGTATCTTCCTGTATCAGCTCATTTCAGTTGACACTAATCCGAAGGAAAGTTTTAAGCTTCTAGTGGAAATTTCTAGAAGATTCACTGCTGAAATATCAGGGGGAATTTGTTTGTGACTTATTACAGAGACACTAAGTGCCCTTCATCCATTATTTCCTCAATACCCACGTAATTAATGGGCTTAAAACTTATACTGAAATTGAAAAATATTTATTTTCCAAAGGGGCGAAATGTAAAAAATCCATTTGTAAACTACTGAATTAGACCCAAATTTTTGGCAGCCAATGATAAAAACAGGCCAATTTTGCAAGAGTGAGCACTTTAAAAAAAAAACTGAAAAAGAACATTAACACCTCATACTACTAAAGTGTATCATATTTCTGGTGGAAGTAGTAAATTCCAAATTTGAAAATTCCCACTTATTGGTGTCAGAATATTTTGCATTTTAGAAAAACAAAGCAACTAATCCACTGAACTTACTTCTTGAGGACAATTTCAGAGGCCCCTTTGCTGTACATTCGGAAGCTGCCATCTGGCATTTTAATAACCGTGCTCATCGACTTCCTTACGGAGTTGAAGGTGTAAACTTTATAGAGCTTCTCCTCAGGGATGAGGCTCCGGACAGGCTCATAATCCTGCTTCAAATCCAGGACAAATCCCAAGAGGCCACACTCTGTCTTATTGCCCACCTGGCGAGGCAGCCCACCCTCTTTTTCTGGCGGCTGAAGAGAAGAAAAGAGTTAGACATTGATTTCTCTAATAATAAGCAGGAGACAATTAATGAAGCTACAGCGTACAGTCTAAGATCTGAAATTGTGCAGCCACACATCTTCCAGTTTTTAAAAGCAGGGGAAAAATCCACAGAGCTCTAACAGACTTGAAGCATTGCTGCTCACAATGAGAAACATTTCGCTGGTCTCCTGTATTTCTTTTCTTTTAAATTAGCCACTGGCAGCTCAATAACTTGAGATGGTCTGGCAATACATCATTAAAAATGAAGTGACTTTCTTTAGGCTCAAAAACAAGTAATTCAACTTCTTGCAAACTGAGGATTTCCTTTTCTCCCTTGCTTAGAGTTACACTGGTTTCCTGATTTTCATGGTTATAACAGTAAGTTAAAGAAAGTTCTGTCCTTTCTTTCCTAGCAGGCATCTTTATGTAAAAATAAATGTGCATCCAACCATAGCAGTAAAAAATAGGTCTATATCTAAAAGTGCCCATTTTTAGAATTAGCACACTTTAGTGTGCTGCTTCAGACAAGAAATGCTTTGTATTAGAAAAAAAATGGAGTACTCTAAACACTGTGCAACTCCTGATAACTCTCAGTCCTTCTGGGACAAGGAAGGCTTTACCTTGACATCCAAAATATAAACAAACATTTCATGTACAAACTTTCTTGGAAGCGTAATACACTCCAAACCAAACGTTCTTGTGTTGTCAAGACTCCAGATCGACCTAAAGGGCCCAATGTGTGAACTATAGACTGTTGATAACTTAAATTTTGTTATGCTCACTAGAATTAGGAAAGGGTTCCTTAAGCTAGGGTCAAAACTTCTCTTATGGGAATCAAAGCAAGAAGTCATTTCACAGCTTTAATTTGCACTGAAAACAGATGTGGATTGGATTCAAGACAAGACTGTAAGTCATCATTTTCAGTGTGAGTTAAACATTTACCTCACATTTTGCAGGACTATGTTCAGAATCCAAGTTTAGTTTCACTGTAGACTTTAAAATCCAGTTTACATCAGAAATGGGATTCCTAAGTAAATGGGATTCCTTATGTCATCCCTCAGTGGGATGAGGGTTTATGTAGGGAATGATTAAAGTTGAGAATCAGTAATTCTGCTGAGATTTGGTTTCTTGCTCCAAGAGGAAAAGGGGGATCTTTTAAGTAAGCATAAGTATGTAAGTGCTCCAGATAACCACCAACAGCAGCTGACTTGAAGAATGAAGGTCAGACAGATAATAGTAGACTGCTCTAGAACTAAAGTAAGCAAATAAACATGAATTTTTTTCCCATTAGAACCATCTTTCTATCACCAAGAGAACATATACCTGGTGACAGATAAATAAATGTCATCTCTTTTTCGTGAAAGATGCATCTGGGGAGAATAACACAGAATAACCCAAAAACCTTTGTCTCAAAGAGATTTATCCTCCCAAAAGGGATTGTAACATCTTTCTTCTCTATGAACCATCATTATTACTGAGTTATATGGGCCACACTGGTCTTGCAATGGCATTTGAGTGTTACTCCAGGGTCAATGTAATACACCAGTATGCAGTAAAAACGACAATATGATATATTAGTTTTATTATCTGTTATAACAACTTGTCCCACTATAATCTCATTATATTATGATGTAACTTCCCAGTGGATTCTCACATTCACTTAAGGATCTCTAAATCAAAATGCAAGTGCTTGTAGCATCTGGAAGGATTTGCATTCAGAGGATATGAAACTCTCAGTTAGGAGTCAAAAAATACTCTTTAAAATACAGTGTTGTTTAGATAAATAAGGTTCATTTTCATGGCATTGCAGCTACGTAGTTCCTGAGACATGCCAAGGACTCCAGGTTTCTCAAAGGAACAGTCATCAACCTCCCTGCCTGGGTGGAATTGCTGGGAAAGATCAATTCCTCTGTCCATATCATATCCAACTTTTTCCATTTTAGACCTAAATCCTCACTGATGCTTTGCTTGTCTCTGCCACTGAAGTCAGTGAATCTTGAAAAATGCCTAAAATATGAATGAGATCAGGCCACTAGAACACACATGGAAACCAATGAAAGAAACACAATCCTAGACAATAATTGATTTATATATATGATTTCATCATGCCCTGATGTGAATGGATATCAAGAAAACAAAAAGCTGCCCACATCTCACAACATAAAAAAAACTAAATAGCAGAGCCCTTCCGAAATCGTTTTTATTTCAGCAAAAAGTAGATCACACTCTGCTGTTCTCACTGCGGCCTAAAAATAGATTTCTTTCAGGGAACATCTTTTCAATGCAAATATGTAAGCAGGGGGGGAAAAAATACCAGTGAAAAGAAAAGGAGCAGACACTTCAGAAAGGTTTCAAAACCTAACAAGCGGCCACCTCCCTCCAGAGCAGCTGCTGCCTCCATACTCTTTGTACATCACATTATAATAAAGCATATGGTGGTGAGAGCTGGCAACCAGCACTTCCTTCCCTGCACTGTTTCAGCTCAAAATCCCCACGCCAAACCCATCCTCCTCGCAGATTGTTCTGGACAACCCTTTGCAGGAGCTGCTGCCTTTGAAACTTCCTGCTGGGCCCGTTATCTAAATTTATTTCTGGCCGAATTCCGTCCGTGGCGCCCGGAAAACAATTCCGAGGGCAGCCCAAAGGGTTTGTTTGGAATAATTAAGTAGGAATGACTTCATTGGCTCCTCGGAGGATGAAAAGCCTTTGACAACAGAGGAGGAAAACTGAGCTTTGGCAGTGAGGACTCAGTCGATTGTGACGTTTTCAGGAGCTCAGTGAAGGACCTCCTTCAAGGCACGAATCAGCTACAAACTCTACCATCTTCTACCAGGAAGAGACTGATCCAGTGTCTTCCTCCAATCGTGATTTTCCCCTGATCCTTGCAAAATTTTTTTTCCAAGTGTTTCTTCCGAGCCTTTGTGTTATTCGACAGCAACGTTTCGATGGCGAGCAAATACTCGCGTGTGAGAGAAACCGCGGACAGATGTTTAAATAAGAGTTGTTCCAACCACCAGACCAAAATAGGTTTCTAGGTCAAAGTACAGCTGCCTTACTGAGGCTTAAAAACACCAATCCAAAGCCAGTATTGACCTGACAGTGAATTTGGATTACAAAGGGAATTTTCAGAATTATTTCGCTGAAAAATAATTGACTAATAAACGAGTTTTAAGAAGGAAGAAAGTTAAAACTGCGGGTGTAATTTATAGAGCACTTCAATATTGAAAATTAGATTAGGAAATTATAGTGCTTTCATTTTTACCATAAGTCTTCTAAACCTCATTTTCTCATTGCCCCTTCTGACATGGAAAGAGAGGACTTTGCAAGAAGATCCGAGCAGTCTTTCCAAATTAAAATGTTAGGATTTCACATATTTTCTAAGTCTTAATTTGGTTTTTTGTAATTCTCCTGTGTTCTACAGATTGAACTACTCCTTTAGAATAATGATGATTGTAAATATACCAATTTATTAAGATAAAAAATGAGCTTTGCTAGAGTATCATACCCCTACTAGGTGTTCTATTAGAGCTCAGAACCACAACAGACAAATAGACAGACGAAAACAAAGATTTTCAAAATTAAATTGCAAAAGATTTCCACTCCATAATCTATTCACTCAAACAGAAGAGAAAATAGAATTAAGTACATATTTAAACATGATGTATTTAAAACGTAAAATAACCAAGAGGGTTGAATGCTGTTCAATCAATGTGATATTTTTAATTCCTAGCACTGTGAAAAGAACTACTGAAAAACTGTGATACTATCAAATTCATTACATAATTTGAACCAATGGTTTAATGTAAGACATCTAGAGCAAGATAAAAACATACAGCATTTGTAATCAAATATTTCAGCTTTTAGTAGATACAGGTTTCCTTAACTGACTTCAAGGTAAACCAAGACAGATTTAAAAATTACTGGTTATTTTGGAGGAAAGCTTCAGAATTAAAGGAGTTCTTTTTAGCCAAGGATTAAGAAAACTTTGCTTGGTTCAATAAAGTTTCCAGTTACAAAATGGGAAAAGGTTTCAAAAGATGTGTTGGCAATAAGAACACAATAATTCCAGCCATCAGCTGGTCTAGTTTCATTTAGAATTTCCCTGGGATTCTGGAGCCAGAGAAATGGTTTAACCCCAGCTGGCAACCAAGTATCACACAGTTTGTTGTTCACTACCCCTTCCCCCTCTGGTGGGATAGGGAGGAAAATTGGCAAAAGCCATGGATTTTGATAAGAACAGTTTCACTACAAACACCTGGCATCAGCTGTGCCCCATTAAAATGCTACGAATTTATTTCCATAAAGTCCCCAGGAATAAAAATTAGTCTCTATATCTGTGCAGATTCTGATCTTTGCAACCCTTGAGGACAGATCTTAAATAATATTTTTGACCTGACTGATGGGGAAGATCACAGTTTGTCCTTGGACTGGTTGGAATTTTGAGTGTCTTCCTGTTACTGCTTAAGAAGTTGCCTCTGGTTCATACAGAGCACAGAGAGGAACTTTCTTTCTGACAACATACGTGCCATTTCACAGCTCAGAATCATCACTGCAAAGTACAATGCTGTCGAAATTCAGTTAAAGTCAAGAGTCACTTTGAATTGGGGTCAGCATAAGGAAAGAACAGTTAACAACTTGGAGCTGGTTGTGTAATCACTGTGGCACCAGAAGACTCTGGTGCATGACTTTACATTCTGTCCTCAGCTCACTCACTGCACTTAAAGCCCAACACTTAAAAGTTTAAAGGTTTGATGGTTTTTCTTATTCTTTTGCACACCACTGGGTAGACTGATGTAGGTGTTCCCATTCACTTTTATGCCTTTCATCAGAAAGTAAATTTATCTCCAAATTTACTAAATTTTACTAAATTTGCCGGCAGAGGATTAAAAATATTTATACATTTTACTGATACTGGTCTCTTCCTTTACTTCATTTCAATCTCAAGCAAAGGACTTCAATTCCAAAGAACTGGAGGTCCACATCCCTTAAG